GCCAGTTGCTTTCCTGTGTGACGAAGGCACCGAAAATGGGCGCGATGGCACTGCCAAAAAAGGGTAGGTAGGCGTGTACCGCGTCCCCTCTGCCCCCCATCGGCGCCGGATACACATCGGCGGTAAGGCCAGGTGCCAGCTGGAAGACGACAGTAAACGTCAGCTCATACACTTGGCTGCCCTTGGAAGAGACGGACTCACAATCTGAGGCGCACTGGCGCCGAGGCCACCAATAAAACGGAAGGCGAGCAACTGAGGTCCAGATGTTGCGAAACCACAGGCTGTATTCCAGATGAGGTGCCAAAGATGTGCGTAGCGGATCACGTTGGCTCGACCAAACAGCTCTATAATGGGCGCTATGAAGAAGGGACCGACCCCGGCCGCGAGGACTTGCATGCCCTGGATCAGCTGCTGCTCCGTGCCGGGTGCAATGTTGAGTTCAGTGCCGATGACTTCCATGGCGGGGCCCACCATGGTAGCAGAGAAGGGGGCGATGAAGCTAAATAGTGAGAGAATGAGCGATGTCTGATACTTCTTCATCATTGGCCAGTTGGCCGGGTTGGCTGGGTCGTTCGGACCGTCCCAGGTGACAATGTTATCCGCCTCCAAGTCGTCGGCAGCGCCAGCGGGCTTGTTCCTCGCATTGGCGACCCCGCCACCCCTACCACCGTCGTCGCCCATGGTGGGCCGTGGTGGGTCTTGCTTCTCCCATCCCCTCGCTGCGGAGGCGGTACTGCCGTCCATGGTGGTGGCCGCAGCAATGACTGAGTCCGGGCTGGCCTGCAGGGGTGACGGAACGGCACGCTGCTTGAACGCGCTGGAACCTCTGTGCTGCTCCGGAAGTCTTGCAGCCTGTGGTAATGGTGGGCCCGGATTAGACCACCGTTGGGGATTGGCTCGGATGTCGTCCAAAACTGTGGCTAATTCGATATGGCTGGACTGCCTGGTTGGCTCGGCAGGCCGTCTCGTCTCCTGGGCGGCCGGAGTAAGTGGAGAAGGTGGATTCAGTCTCAAGGCATCGACGAGTGCCCGGACCCTAGGGTTCTCATGTCCCTTCTCTTCCAGCCCGATACTACTTATTCTCGAGTTCCGGACTGGGTTGTACCCGGCGGGAGGTTGGTAGGGACCAAACTGTCCTGGATGTGGTGGTGGTGGTGGCAGAGGCTGTGTGTTATTGACAACTTCCTGTTGATTGGAGAGGCTCGTCAACGGTTGATATGGTGTGCTCCTGGGGCCATAGCGGACGTTAAGCAATGCTTGTGGGTTCTCTGGCAGCGGTATGCGTGAAGACGCCGACCCCGAGCGGCTTCGAAGTGCATGCTGAACTGGGTCCAGCCCAGCCATGTTCTCCCCGTTGAAGGAACCAACCGTCGGGTAGCGAAAGGGGACGAAGCGGGCAGACGGCAGTCGCATCTCAGGCTGCGTGGCACTAGTGGGAAGCGGTTCCTCATGGAAGACTGACATGTTGGTGTCGGCTTGACTTGCGTTGCTTCTGGAACGGACGTCGTCCCGGAGGGCTGAATAAGGTGGGGAAGAGGCGGCTGTTCGATCCGACGGGTTCCTGTTATGCTGCTGCCAACCGATATCTCTATGAGTTGCAAATTCTGGGTCGGAACTGAGTAGTTCTAGGGCTGCCGCTGCACCTGATTTGTGGTCACCTACCGATGTCCATTGTGATTGCTGACGTTGTTGATCGGGAAGTCGTGACATGGCGATGCGTCAAAGGGCAGGTAAGTAAGCAAGGAAAAACAGGGTACATCTAGAAAGAACATTTATTAGGTGGACGTCTAGAAGGTGGAAGCGGAAGGGCAATGTGGTTTTGTTTTGTAAGTCGACGGTATGCCATGTTGTCTCGGCATGCTCATAGCCAGACGGCAAACGTCACACGAGGTTCTCCTGAAGACCTATATTAGACTGTCGCCACATGTGTATGAGATCATATGAGATCTACCTCTGGCCGGGTTGCATCGCCACTCGGCACTTGGTTTCACCAGAAGCGAGGATTTCGATTAGGGAGACCAAAGGCTGAGTTGGTGAGACAGCAAGCGTAGGCACTTGGTGTTTCTTGGAGGTTGTCGCATAATTTCTCATGTGTGTATCACGGGCTCCAATTAGTCTTGGCCAATCTCAATCTCAGTACTTCACACACATTCGTCGATTTGCGTATCCTGGGCAAACCCCGGTGCAAGCCATGCCACGATGCCAAACACAGTCAGTTGACTAATAGGCCGTGAATCATTTTAGGCAAAGAAGGACCGGAGGCTCCCCGGGCGATGCTCACGCCAATCAAAATCCTCAAGACGGACGATTACAACCGGCTCCGGGAAGCAGACACGGTCCTTCCTAGCTGCGGACAAGGTCTAGGGTTATGCGATCTCCGGAAGCTACTCTAAGGGCAGCCGAACAAGAACCGCATTGCCATCGGGGATGGCGACTGTAGATCCAGTAAGCGACCGAGACAAAAAAGCAACTTGCTCGCCTTGCTGTCTCGCTTCTTTCGTTGGGCACTTTCTTGGCTGGCCAACTCGAAACAAGCCCCAGCTTTAGGTGGTGATACTAGCCAGACATGGAGTTGCCCAAGCTTCTGTGCTATCACAAGGCCGAGAAGGTTGAGACCAGTAGTCTCGGTTTTCCTTAGGGATCCAGACTCAAACTCAGCCGGCTTGGAATCAGCTTTCCTTATCACTGCGGGCTAGTTGCAACACTGAATGATGGAATGGGTTTCAGTTTATAAGGCTAAGAGCTATCACGTACATTCGAAGAGGAGCACGATGTAGGTTTCTTGGCGAGTACATATTTCCACATTCACTGAGTCGTTCACTCTCAGAGGCGATTATTGCTTGCAGTGGTTCAGGGCGCTGGCATCCTCGACGTCTATGAAGAGGCAGCCAGCAGAGAAGTGATTTGCACCATAATATGAACAGCACCAAATACTCCCGTACCAATAGTACAGAAGCTCTAGACCCTCCCATCATCAATACGAAAGAGTTCCTCGGCATGGCTAGACTAATATCAAAAGTCCCAGGGTAAGGATAACATCACAATTCTCACACCCTGCCAACTATCAGACCTACACATGGTGGGGATAGAAGGCACCAGCTCAATAAGTCCAAGTGCTCTACGCACCGATATCCTGTTCATAACGCTACGCCGCTATAAGAGGGGCAATAATAAGATGTAATGAGACAATGGTTGCTAACTAATGACTGTGAGCAGTGTGACAAAGCATATGACCTGCCGCGAGTATTGATGAACAAGTGGTGCTTGATAACCGTCTGACATTATCTTGGAAAAATCACGCCATTGGCATGCTGTGATACCTTTCGTGCGTATGGAGTCACACAAAATCGCCTTCTCCTGTCTCCCCGCATCCCATGACGCTATTTTGCATCTTGATATTTTTTCAATGCCGGTAGTACTAGCTGCAGCCAGCTACAGGGCTTAAATTTGCAGAATCGGGAAATGACAATTCTCTTATCTCTGCCAAGGTCGTTTCCTACTGTCCCGGCCGTTTTGCCAAGTTGCATTCGGACTCTGAGGGCCTGCAAGCTGCTTTTCTTTCCTTTTTCCCGCTTTCTCTCTGCGGCGCTTACATGGCGTACTCTCGGATACAAGCCATGGATGCGTAAATATGCTTAGATCCCATGCAGGCCAAAAGTCTTGGCTTGGTGGCAGAGTAGGTAGGGTACATCTGGCGGCCATCTGCTAACGAGAAATGCTACTCTATTGAAACAGTTGGCACGTTCCAAACATGTTTCTGTCAGTTGTCATTCGTAAAAGCTTGAGTTGCTAAGATATAGGGTGTGTTCAACTAGGTAGAACCAAAGCACTGTTGTGTGTGGTTGGCCCACTCTTTTGAGTTTGAAAAACTCAATACCTAGGCGACAGCCAGGTCTCACCGCTGTCCGCCTGCTTCCGGAACGTTCTTTGAGCGGCCAAGAGCATCTGCCGGCCCAGTTGCGGACTTCTTACTGCTGATCTCTCTACCTGCTCGATAAACAGTGTTCGTCGTCTTTTGAGTAACTATACGGTTACACACACACACACACACACACACACACACACACATATATAACTGGTCTTTTATCTGTGGCAACAAGTCATGATACGAGATTTGCTTTTTCCTTCATCCACATCTTTCTCCCCCGCCATCTTCTGTGAGGAACGCAGTAACCTTGAGACGGGTAGTTTCTTTTTGCCGGTTAGATGAGCGGTGGATGCCCCCGAGTGCATTTCCGTATTTGTAGGTAGGCGTCCCTAGTGTTCTGTGGCGGAAAGGAATACACTCGGGTGGGAAAATGGGGGGAAAACACAACAAAGAAAAAGAAGAAAAAAAGGGGGGGGCTGTCTTCCATTGCCGCTTATCTACCTACCTACTAACTACTAACATGCCATCTTTTCTACCCTTCTGACAGTAGAAAAAAAATTATATCACTACAAGATGCCTGAAAATTACTACATTATACTAGAAGGAAAATTCCTGTATCAAATTATCGAACGCGGTGGGGGGGGGGGGGGGGGGGGGGGTCATGATACGCTTCTGAAGTAAGGTTCTTTTGGAAGTGCTTGAGACCGGCCTTTTTTTTTTTCACCCGATTGGCATGGTGCTCCTGCCAGATGCTTTTCCCGCTTGGCCAAGGGGACGACGGTGGATAGGATTTGAAAAATCCGTACCCAATGGAACCAACATGCGGTCTTGGTCGTCTCCGTGTCTAGCCTTGGCTGCGTCCCGCTCATATTGGCTGCCATGCCCCGCTAACCGTTGGCACTATACGCACCAGGTGCCGGCCTCCGCCGCTAACGGTGGCCCATTGCCTTATATGTGTTTCATTTATATAAAGAGCATTTGTCTCGTACAGTGATGACATGGTAGTCAGTACCTCCAAACTTCAGCATCAGACGGTTGCATCTCTATCATATCTTCGGTCCTTCTGACTGTGGCTTTCTGTCAATAGCGCGTTTCTTTGGCAGTGCTTACGTCCTCTTCCCACCCTACCAAAATGGACACGGACGAGCGGCTGCCGCCACCTGATATGAGCCAGATCAGGGAGTGGCGCTCTATATTGACTCTTATCGTCTTTATCATCACAAGTAAGTTCAAACCCAACCCCAAACCCAGATTCCCCCCCCCCTTTTTGTTTTCTTTCTTCGCGCTGGCGTTGGCGGTTTGGCCCACTCGGTAGGTACTATGTGTACTAACAACTGCAAACAGACACTGTCGTCAGCTTTCCCTTTCACATCCCTATTCCTGTTCCCAGGGTAGCCTGGAATGCTTTCCTAGGTGTGCTCGCAAGAGTTCGTATCATCCCCCCACGAGATCTCGCAGGGCCTCGAGAAGATGGAGGTCGTTGGAAGGTGCTCAGGTGGTCCATAAGCACCATCATGGCACCTGTTTATGCCTGCCTCTTCCTACTTGCAACCCTAGCAATTGGGCGTGACGAGGTACACGATGGTGTGTATTTTGAAGACCTGCTTTAGACACTCGCTTTGTGTGGCAAGTAATCATTAACCTGGTTGCAACGCAGGCACTGTTGGCTCCAACAACATTGATCCCTACGACGTCATGATATTTTTCATCACGCTCGCGTACATCGCTATCTCGATCGACGCCTCTGGCCTGTTGAAATACCTTGCCTTCAGGGTTCTGAAAAAGGCCGGAGCGCATGGCCGCCGACTGTTTCTGTATCTGTTCTGGTTCTTCTTTGCCCTGGGCACTGCCATTGGAAATGACCCCATTGTGCTATCTGGTCAGTCATGCCCGTCTACGCTTTCTCTGATACAGCAGCTCACCGCAACCTTGGCCCCGTTCAGGCACTTCTTTCCTAGCATACATGATCCGCGCCTCCAGTAACATAGCTTCGGCGAGAGCCTGGATCTTTTCGCAGTTTGCTGTTGCCAACATCAGTTCGGCCATTCTGGTGTCGTCAAACCCAACGAACCTTGTCTTGGCTGCCGCCTTTCAGATCAAGTTCATTGACTACACAGCCAACATGATTGTGCCCGTCATTATCACCGCCGCAGTGCTTTTCCCCTGTCTGTTGTTCATAGTGTTCCGTGACGAAAAGTACGTGCCGCGCGCCATCGACATGCACGAGCTGTCCGACGCTGAGAGGGAGCGTGAGCCTGTCAATCCAAACGTACCCTATGCCGGCTATGGCGAGGACCGTACCCCGGTCGGCGAAATCCTCAACCCCTACCTGGACCGACGCCATGCTACCTACAGCGTCAGCATCATGGCTGCTACGCTGATCTCAGTGCTCCTGATCAACGCCATCACGGCGAGCCGTGGCGGACACCCGACGCCCGTCATGTACGTCACCATGCCTGCCTCTTTCCTGTGCCTCTGCGCGGACCTCTTCACGGGCTGGCGCAACCGAGCCGTGACTCGCGCCGTCGCCCAGAGGGGCCGCACCCTTGCCGAGCGCGACGCCGTCGAGCGCGACCTGCGCGCGGCTTCCGAGGCGGGTAGAGTCCGCAGCAGCAACGACGACGACTCCTCGATGCCCCGCTCCTCCTCCGAAGGAGGTCAGACGGCGATGGATATCTCCAACGAGAAGCCTAAGAAAAGGCTCTCACCGTGGCACGCGACGTCGGACGAGGAGCGTGCAGCCGCCATAGAGGGCGAGTTGAACCAGCGGCAGGCACGCCGAGCAGCGCAGCCGACGACGTTGGTGTCAATGGCACGCGAGGCCCACGCCTGGTGGCGCGAGACGTTCCCTGCTGCGTCCATTGTCCTCTCGCGGCTACCTTTTGCATTGGTACCCTTCGCGTTCGCCATGTTCATCTTGGTCGAGGCGCTTGTGAGGAAAGGCTGGGTGTCGCTCTTCGCGTACGGCTGGGACGAGTGGGTACGGAGGACTGGCATCATGGGCGCCATTAGCGGCATGGGATTCCTCGGTGTCTTTTTATCCAACGTATGTTTGCATGCATCCTGCAGATTCGGTTGCATTTCACTGGGGCTTAATTCACACGTTCAAAGGCTAACAACACCCTAGTTTACTGGCACAAACATCGGGACCACAATCCTGCTGTGCCGCATCATCCAGGCATGGGTGCAAATCACACAGAGTGAGGGCCGGACCATCAGCGACCGTACCTTCTGGGGCTCGGTCTACAGCATGGCGCTAGGCGTTAACTTCGGGGCCTTCGGATCTGTCTTTTGCGCATCGCTTGCCGGCTTGCTTTGGAGAGATATCCTGGCTTCCAAGGGAGTCATCGTCCGCCGCATCGAGTTCCTATGCGTCAACGCGCCAATCATCGGCATCGCCACAGCCGTTGGATGCACAGTCCTCGCTGGTGAAATCTACATCATGCGGAAAGATGAGCCGTATGTGGCCTGAGAAAATTGGCGTGTATTGCCGTATAGATGGTCCCTTGTAGTTGCGGCGTAGAGGCGGGATGTTTCCCTTGAGGCCGGTCCCAGATAGTGTCGGGATATTCAACTGTTCAATGGTGGAGCCGATCCATGGTCACGTGATTTACCATCACGTGACTCACCCCGGCGGCTCACTTACACCACTACAAATATCTATAGCAATAACTTCTTCTTCTTTTTCTTATTATCTATCTTAATAAGTAACTAGTAGTTAATTAAACTATTACTACTTTATAATTATAATCCCTATAATACTAACACTAATTAGTAGTTAACTTTATAGTTACTACTACTATAGATTAGTAAGGATTATTAGAAGAGGCTTATAATACTTTACTTACTATAGCAGCTTAGATTAAAGTATTAAAGTGCTACCTAGCCTAAAGATTATTAGTACTTAGGATCTTATAATACCTAGTAAATAACCCTTTAAGCCTTATATCTACTATATAATAACTACTATTACTACTATTAACTTTATTACTTTTAGAGAAGTCTTTTCCTTTATATACTACTTACTTACTAATAACTTTTATAGTATTTAGTATAATTATTTTTTTTTATACCTAAGTTTCTTTAAGTTCTTTTTTTTTTTATCTTTTAACCTTTTTTCTCTCTAATTATTAAGATTTTTATCTTACTAAGTTTTTATCTTACTATAGTAGTAATAGCCTATATAAGATTATAAGTAAATAGACTCCTATAAGTTCTTATCTAAATAAGATCTTACTAGTAGGACTAGCTATAAAGTAGTTAAGTAAGAACTACTTAAGTAATTTACTTTTAATATAGTATTTATAAGTAAATAGCTTTTACTAATTTTACCTTTATATACTTCTAATATTATATTATTAGCTAGGTGTAGCTTATAGTAATTATAACTTTTTTTTTTAACTAGATAATTAGTAGCTAAGTGTTACTTTTAGTAAGTATGCCTCTTTTTGTTTTTTAAGTAAGGTAAAAAAGGTAAAAGTTACTTATATTACTTTAATTTACTTACTTTTTTTTATCTTTTAAATACTTATTAATAACTATACTATCTTTTTTACTTTCTCTTCTTCTTTAAGTAAGGTATAGTTATTAGTAACTAATATAACTTTTACTTAACTTTACTATTCTAATTAATTTAAAAAGACTACTTATTATTTACCTTTAAGTAAGGTATATAACCTTAACTTTTTATTTTTCTTTTTTTAAAAATCTTTAACTATAGTATCCTACTTACTAAAAAGTAAGGTCTATATATATCTCTTTTTAGAGATAGCGTACGTCTCCTTTTGTTTTTTAAGTAAGATTTACTATAAGGCCTCCCTAGAGCTATCTCTTTATGTTACTAAAGCGTAAGGCCTCCCTAGAGCTATCTCTTTATGTTACTAAAGCGTAAGGCCTCCTTAGAGCTATTTACTACTATCTATTTATTTATTATTTTATTTTTTTATTTATTTTATCTCTTACTTATACCTCTTTATGTTATATTATTTATTTACTTATCTTATTATTATCTATACTAATAGTAGTAATTCCTCTAATATATAGATTTACCTTTAACCTTATAGGTAAGAAGTAAGTGCTTATATTTAAGAGGTTAGTAAGGCTAATAGAAGGTAATAATAGTAAAGGAAGGACTAAGTAAAAGGTAAAGTAAACTATAGGCGCTAGCTAAGGTAAAGAAGTATATTTATCTATAGGATATTAAGGATTTATATCTTATCTTAAAGTATAGCTAGCCTTTTATTATTATATAACTATAAAGTATAACTAATTTAGCTAATATTCCTAACAGCCTTACTTAAGTTAAGTAATATAACGCCTTAAGTACTATTATTATACTTTAAATAATATAATATAGCTTTATATAGCTATATAGTTAATAGCTATAAAGATATACTACTAAAAACTTTAAAAAATAGTTACTTAATACCTTTAAAGGTACTACCTATAAAACTATTATTAAATTTAAAGACTACCTAATATATAGGGGTATATAGGTATTAACAGTAAAGTTACTAACTATTACTAAATAAATCTACTATACCCTTAAGGCTAATAATCTAAAGGCGTAAACGCTTAAGAATATTAAAGAAAAAAAGAAAAAGAGTAAGGACTTTTACTTAAAGATTAATAAACCTAACTTTATATAAAATATTATAGACTTACTACTAGAAATAATATTAATATAAGATTAACTAGGCCCTTTTTATATTATTACCCTCTTAGTATAAGTTACTTAAGTCTAGAAAGGTTAATAGAGGCCTATTAATCTAGCCTTATTATATAATAACCTAAATTTTATTTCTTTACTATTTAAGTAGGTAAATAACGTTTACCTTTACTTATTAGTTATACTAGTTACTACTACCTTACTTATAACTTACTAGCTTACTAACCTTATTAAATTATACCTTAATAAGATAAAGTATAGTAGAGGGGTATATAAGTTACTTAAATTAAAGCTTATAATCTTTTATAACTACTATATAAAGGCTAGGATCTAGTAAGAGCACTTTATAAGCGCCTTCTTTATTATACTTAAAGGTAAGGCTATAAAGTACTATACTAACTATCTTTATAACTAAACTAACTTTATTACTATAGTTATATAAATAAGGGGTAATTTTAAGAATAAAAAGACTTTTTAGGCCTACCTTACTAAGCTATAAAGGACTAATTTAATAAGGACTATTTTAGATAATCTAGATAAAAGTAAGGCTAAATGCCTAGAGTTACTTATTAAGAAAGTAACTACCTTTATAAGAATAGTTATAAGGATTAGCACCTTATCTAATATAGCCCTTTATAACTAATTACTTAACTTCTACTATAAAGTAAAGGAATACTTTTTTACCCTTTTTAATCTGTTATCTATATTTACTAGCATGTGTAGCTAGCTTTAATTAGTAATTAGTAATGTAATATAATTTAAATAACCTATATATTAATACCTAACTAAAAAGGTAAAGAAGTAGTATTAGACTAATTACACTTATAATAGCTAGTAAAGTTACTAGTAGTTTAGCTACTATAACTATAGCTATAGTAATTTTACACTATAGCGCCTTTTTAATAGTAATTTATAGTAATAAGCACCTCTTTTACCTTTATTACTATTTATAAAGAAGTGCTATATATATAGTAAGCCTAACTATTAGTTAATAAGGCACTTAAAAGACAAAAAGTAATAAGCCTACTATAAGTATAAAAAGTAGTATCTAATAGACTTTTTACCTAAAGCCTTTAACTACTTTATAACTAACTTTAAGGGATATAAGCTATTTACTTTAGATAAAGAAGGTAACTATATAAAAAGTAATAAAAATAAAGAATTAGGCACTACGTTTTATATATTAATAACATTTTTTAACTTATTTACTATTAATAGGCCTGCTCTGTTTTTATTACTATATAACTAATTTATAACCTATTTTCTTATAAAGGATAACTCCTTATATAAGAATTTATATAATAATAAGCTACCTAACGTAGATATCTTTACCCTTAATAAGTAATATTTATTTATTTTATTTTATAGTATTATACCTAACTCTAGTGTAGCTAAATATTTAATAGCTAGATATAAGTAGTATCTTGCTTTTTACTACTAAATAAAAAGAAATCTAGCTATAAATAAGTTATAAGTAGGTAAAGTAAAAATCTACTTTAGTAGTAGTAACTACTTTAAATTATAAGAGGTAATTAATATACTAACCCCCTTTAGTATACTAACCTTCTATATAATACTATTAAATACCTTATTTCTACTTTACCTTATAGATATAAATTAGTATAGTATTAAATTTAATAACCTTACTAATAAGCTAATTTAAGGTAATACTATTATACCTACTGTCTATAAATAGGGCTATATATAAATACTATTTAATTAACGTAAGTAAAGTATTACTTACTACTATCTTATAGATATAAAGTTATAGTAAATTTATTATTACTTTAGCTACTTATTAGTCTAAAGGCTTTATTACGTCCTCTAATAATCTAGTAATAAAGTTAAGATTATAGCCTTAGAGAAATTAACTAAGGTCTACTACTACTACTAAATAAATATAAAAGCGCTTAGTTACTTTAAATTTACTTTATATAATAATAAATATAACTTTAACTATAAGATTATTATTAATATTATCTACCTTAATAGTAACTACCTAGCTTTATATATAGTTAATACTATAATATCCTTTTAAGTAGCCTGTTTACTTAAAAATATTACTATAAAGTATATATAAAAGGCACTTTAGATATACTAGATTAACGTCTACCTTAGCCTACCTAACTAGATTATTACTAATACTAGCCTAAACTTTTATACTAGTAAATTTAAGTAGTTAGTAAGGTTACTTTATATTAACGTTAAAGAAATACTAATTAAAGCCTATAATAGTATTAGTAAGGTTAAAAGATATTATATACCCCTCTAATATATATATAATATCTTTTATAGTAAGGGCTATATACCTAAGGTTACCTTTTAGCTAGCTATTAAAGTAATTAATAATACAGCTAGCCTAAATAGCCTAGTACTTATGCTACTAGTCTTTAGTGCTTACTTATAAATCTCTAACTTATTACTACTTTTACTAACCTTACTTAAAAGGGCTAAAGTAGTAAGAAAAGTAATAAAGGCTATTTACTAAATCTATATAAAAAGGTAAGTTAATAAGGTAGTAACTATATATAATAGCCTAAATACTACTATAATAGTAGCCTTTCTGCTTTAATCTATAGTCTGCGTCTAGCGTAAGAAAAAGGGCTAGTAAGGCCCCTTTTACCTTATTACTAGTAATAAGACTACTTATACTATTAACCTCCCTTAAGGCCTATAAACTTTTTATTTAACTGTTATTAAACTATACCTTAAAGATACTTATAATAAGTAATAATAGCTACTTTTTAAGGTAAGTAGGTAAGGTAATAAGAAGAATAATAATAATAGTGTAGTAGCTTTATTACCTACTAATAACCTTACGCCTACTAAAGAAATATATAATAGTATTACTATTACTATATACCTATAGCTAAAGTAAAAAGCTAACTACCTATAGAGGTATATTAATTTCTTTAATAAAACTAGCTTTACTATTAGGCCTACTGCCTTCTTTACTACTATAAGTATAGCGTATATCTTAATAAAGGAAGAAGCTAACTAACTGTTATTAATTAAGCTATAGAAAAAGGGTATTATTACTACCTTAGGGAAGCCTTTTAAGTAAGTAACTACTACTAAGATTAAAGGGCTTATTACCTATAGGGTATTTTACTTTATTTAATATAATAAGAATAAGCACGCTAGAGTATAGATATTTAAATTATAGATTATTAATAAGGTAAAAAGCTAGAATAAAAAACTATATAAGAAATCCTACCTTATTATCTAAGGATATACTAATAATAGTAAAGAAGTAATTCTTACCTAGTTACTTATAATTTAGTAAGCTAGCTAGCGCTTTATTTTTACTTTTACTTTATCCCTTATTTATAATAATAATAATTTCTTACTTTAGTTATATAATATTACCTAGGTGTATATATAGTTAACTACCTTATTAAATTATATAATTCTTATATACCTTCTATTATAGATATAAGAACTTTATCTAAAGGGTATTATTATATAAGTAGTAAAGCTATTATATAGTATTATAGAGGTAAGCACTTACTAGTAAGTAATATATAGTTACTACTATAAAGAAAAGCTTTAAATAAAGACTTTAACTTTTAATTTATACTTACTAATTACTAATATAGAGAGCCTAGACTTTAGGATTATTAGTATATAGACTAATAATACTATTACCCTTTTAGATAAATCCTTTTTTACTTATAAGGCTAATAAGCTTACTAAGGCTATATTTACTACTAAGGAGAAGTAAATCCTTACTATTAATAACCTACTTACCTTTAATAGTAGTGTAGTATCTCTAACTACTAAGGGGAAGCTTTTTCTTTAATAAAAAGGCTAAGGCAAAAGACTTTAACCTATTAATAAAGAATCTCTATAAGCACTTAAGTAGTACGTTAAGTAATAGGCCTGTAGTATATATATTACGTTAGTCTGCTAGCCTAAAGCGTGCTTTAACTACTTTATTATAGTATAACACTAATTACTTAATCTAAATAAAATTAAGGCACTTAACTATTATATTATATAGTAAATAAATAACCTTAACTATAGTCTGTTATTTTACTTACTTAACCTTAAATTTATAAAGCTTTTTATCTTTATAAATAGATTATTTATAAATAATAAGGACTTTACTTTATAGCTAGGATTTATTATTATTCTTACTAATAAGGTATCTATAAGTACTACTATAGGTAATAGATTTACTATAACTAGTAATATTATTTACTTTAGCTTAATAAAGTGTAAGTAAGTTACCTAAAGTGTGCTAGCCTTTAAGATCTATAGTATAGTTACTAGCGCTAATATTACTTATACACTTAGTATAACTATTATAATAATTACTAACTACTTTAAGCTACTATATATACTAATAATCCTTTATACTAACTTATACTTACTTTATAAGTGCTTTATTAAGCTTAAGACTATAAAAAAGAAAAAGCTTATAATTAATATTATAGCCTTTTAGTAGTTATATAAGTAATATAAGGTCTATAAGGTATAATAAATATAAGGTAATAATAATCCTACTAATAGATTTACTAAATTATTACCTAATAAGGCGCTAAAATAACTAGTTAGAAATAGGATAGTTTAGATTAGTATAAAGGGATAAGTTTTTTAAGCTATATAATAGATTATATAGACAAAAAGTATTAAATACTTTTAGGCTTTTAATTTTATTATGTTTTTAAGCTTTTTAGCTGCTAGGTAGTATCTAGGCTATTTATAGTAATTTTCCTTTACTTTAGAAAGTTACTAGTGTTAGGATATTTAACTGTTTAATAGTAGAGCTGATCTATAGTTATGTGATTTACTATTACGTGACTTACCCTGGCAGCTTACTTACACCACTACAAATATCTGCGGTAATAACTTCTTCTTTTTTTTCCTATTATCTATCTTAATAAGCAACTAGTAGTTAATCGAACTATTACTGCTTTACGATCGCGATCCCTGTGATACCAACAGATAGTTTAACTGGTTATTCTCATCACTGTGGACATATTAGGGATTGCTTCCTAGTGTGTATTATCCCGATGACTCCGAATCCATCTAAATCTACACACGGCACACTGAGAAGATTCCACAGTTCCGTCCCGATCTCAGCCAAGAAGGAGGTTATTTCAAGTCCCTTCGTTGGCTAGCAGAGCCCGATCTCCTCGTGCTGGCTGTATCTTTCTGATCAGAACCCCTTGGTGCTCCATCGCGTTATCAGTCTCCTCAACTTGGAATCAGTCTAGTGCCTGGATAGATCTCTATCCAGACAGAGATCATCCCAAAGGCTGCCGACACGCTCATTGCGTGTGTGAACAGCTATGAAGCCGTTAGGAATTTGACTGCCATGTTTGTCAAATGACAGTTTCGGGAGAAGCTGACGATGCAAATACTTATACATTCTGAGTGTTGAAGGCTTGCCTTAACAGTTATGTGTACATCATCGACCTAGGCTTACCTCAATGGGATCAGCTAATATCGTTGCTGAGTGGCAACTCGAATGAAGTCGAGCCATCTTGGATGTAGCGCGATTCGTCCATCATCGGCGTATATCGACTTGGGTACACTGCAAACTAGGCTTGAATCATTTTGCCCTCGTTCTTTGCGCCATAGCCCATGATGGCCTGGTAGCTATTTGCTCTGACATTTTGGTATTTTTGACAGATCTACGGAGTATCCTTATACTTATCCTCTTTCTGCTACACCACCCACTTTAACACCCTGCACGGCCTCCCCACGCAAACTCTCCACATTGATGCGATGAACGCATCGCGGCATCGTAGATCTCCAAGATCCCCAATCTGATTTCTGTCGGCTAATATGCCGTAAGTTTTGTGTTTCAATGACTCTCTGTTCTTTTTTAACGTTCAGATGGAATATTCCAGCGCAGAATTCTGCGATCCCTATGGCCTCAGCCAATTGACCGCATCACGAGATATTTCCATACACTTTTTACAGTTCCAGTAAGAAATCCCTCTACCCACTGGGCCAAGATTGTATTTTTGCGAGATGGTCGGATTACGATGATAGACTCGTAAAAGTTTTGATGCTTTGGATTTCCAACTACTCGGGGGTGGCTCATTATACTACGAATCTGATCTCTTCCTCTTTCTCCAAGTCCTCTATTCCTAATGCTATGCTCTGAATAGTATCGAGGTATCGAGGTCATGTGCTACTTGAGTAAATGCAACAAGCCCATAATTGTCACGAACTCCTAACTAGTCAACCAGGTAATGATTATTGCTAATAAGTCTTAAAGTTTCTAGCAACTTCCCCGTAACGTCATTTACATTCTTGGGTAAGTCGGTCTCTGTCAATCTTGTTACTGTCCTCAAAAGATAGTCCAGTGCGTAACTCACTTTTTGCATTGTGTCTTGTCTTCCAGTTAATAATACGTAGTACACTAGTATGTTCAACATAGACTTTTCATAAGAGAGCAAATAAGGAGGATATATTAACTACTTATCTACTAAACTAAGCCATCTAACGCTCAATAACACGGTATCAAGCAACATGGTCCGGCGCTCAAAGATCGTTCGTGTCTGCATTCGGGCCGTGGTTAAAGTGAAGTTAGACTCAGCAGTCGTTCTACGTTATTGCGTATTCTATGCCGCATTAGAAAATTGAGTTGCGGCACAGGTCAGAGGTGCCTCGTATCGGGCTTTACGTACTGCACTAAATCGCTTATGGGGGTTTATAGAGACTATATCCATCAATCAAGCAACACATCTGACTTCCTTAGCTAGTATGATAGTGATGTCTGTCCTATTACCTAACATATTTCGAAATCCTCGTCTTCGATTCAATATCAAACTGAAAAGGTCCAATTAAACCCCCCATTCAACGCCTATCTATGTTCTCGGCCCCCAGGCATCCACACATGGTACTTCATCTCGAATACACATTTAGCAGCCTGAGGTAACAATGCTCGCAGCCTCCGGGGGGGCCTCCCCACGTTTGTTTCTGCCAACGCCAGGCCGGTCCTTGGCCCATTCCGCTAGTCCGTTTTTGCTCATGCCGGTGTACTTCAACAGGTCTTCCTCCGAAATTTCACCTCTCTTCTTGCTCTGGAGCCGCTGATAGAGGGACTCCTTCCTTCCCTTCTGCGCGACTACGGTATGTGTTCTTTCGGCCGTGTCGTGTCTGATAAGACATGTTTGGCTTTCGCTTCTGAAATCTTGGTCGGGCATTTTGATTCGATGTAACGATTTGCTTTGTAGTTTGTTTGTGAGGACTCAATGAATTGGTTGGAGAAGGGTAGCAAAGTGTCGGAACTAAAACGTTGAGCTGGAGAATGCACTCAATATATTGGAAAGCGCCGTGGTTAGAATAGCTTGCTTGATCACGCGGTCTCTGAAGTAAAGCGGGGTATGAATATTCACCCAGGAGATGGTCATGTCATGCTGGCTTTATATGAGGTAGAAAAGCGGTGGCAGCGTCAGCCAGCGCCCAGTTAAACTTGATTTATTGTGGCACAGCTTACACGTATGTGGTCTGACTTGGTCATCAGTCGATATCCTTGCTGTTCTGGATGTTATGGTGGCTGTGCCGGTTGGTTGAGAAGGATACGGTTGCTTCCGGCTGGCCCAATCATGGTTACCGAGTCTTTACGGAGCCAACAACAGTCACGCGTGAGCTAGTCGATCAAGGCCGGTTACGGCAAGACGGCACCGGCTGACGGAACTGTGCCGCAAAGTCGAGCCCAGCAGCCCGAAGTCTTTACCTGTTGAACGCTCAAAGCTAATGCGTGCAGTTGTTGAGTTTGTTGGATAGGCACAGGATCGAACATTAGCTAAGCTCGAGCAGTTTCATGCCTTTCATTGACTATTGTGTCGTCGTGAGAAGGCGCAAAACTTGAGGTCATAGTGGTCCATTGATTGTTACAGTAGAATGCGGTGTTCGAACTCCCGCCGTTCGCTCTCTAGAACCAGTGGGCCGCCACTGGGGCCGCTAGCGTCCAGACTCAGCGTCACCCGCTGCAAATCAGCCACTACCCGGACCGTCTCGCCAATGTTCTGATAATCAATCTCGTGATGCCCAGCCGTCTCCTCGTTATCATCCTTTTTGACCTCACGGATCTCGACATTTGGGTACGGTAGTCTCCCCTCACGAAGGGGAACAATCAGAACGGGCACATTCAGCTCCGACTCTCCAAACTTGGCGTCTGTCTTATCGACGCCCAAGCTCTTGAAGTTTCCACGCTTTCGACCGCCAATGAGCCACGTGTCGCCAGGAGCGGTGATATCATAGCTGAACTCATAGTCTCTATTGATGGACTTGCCATCACTCACGGCCGTGTCCCAAATCCTAGTCCATCGCAGTCGGAGATTAGCAGAGAGAAGTTGGTTGACGGCTACTGTGGAGCCAACAAGATGCTCATTGAGCGGAGGAAAGTGAATGTCAACTGAGTGGAAGACAGGAATCGAGGGCACGTCCACAGGGATGAGAATCGAGCGGCTGGCCGATTCGGTTTCCTTGATGGCCAACTTGGGATGTGTCGATTGCCAGTCCTGGAGGAATTGCTTCAGCGCGGTAGAGGCATCGTCGCCGCTTCCGGGGATCAGCCCCAGCCCTTCGAAGCCGTGACGGGAAAGCAAGGACGAGATAAACGACGTCGGGACCTCTCCCAGCAGAGCGGCGCGCTCTAGATCGTAGGCGGATAGCTTGGACTGCATTTCCGCGATGATTCGGCTAATCAGGAAGCCGGAGAACGATGATATCGGCAGTGGCTGGATAGCTTCTATGAGGGATTTCTCAACGAGGGCAACAACCTCGTCCATGAGGACACTGTAGTAGAGTTTCAGATACAGTATTCGTTGCGTCTTTGGTTTTATGGTGCCAGTCGCTTTGCGGGTGATTCTATACAGCAAGCTGGCAGGCTGTTTCGGAAACACCATGACTGACTTGCTCGCTGGAGCAGCTGAATGAGTGGCAAAGACCTCTGAGTCAATCAGCTCGGTCTTGAACAGTCTCAGTGGACTGAAAGACGCAGTTGAGACGCTAAACCGGGAAAACAGTGCATTGTGCTTGAACACGTCCTGTACGTTGACCCCCAATGCAAGCGCGACGGGGACAGAGAAAGTACTGGAGTAGTGATAGGTGCCGTCTTCTGTCGTGTAAGTTAATTCAACCCTGACCGAGATGTTGGGAACGTCTTGTTCAATCGTATACGGAAAGCGCATCTTCATGGTGCACGATGCATCGATGGTTCCAAAGCGAAAGAGGCCTGCTTCCAATGGTTTTTCATACTCAAACGCTGGCCCAAGAAATTCTGCTTCGGTCGAAATGATCCTCAGACCACCAGTCGACGGCTTCACAGAGAGTACGCAGGATTTGATGGAATTCCAACCAGTAGAAAGTTCCAGATCCACCGAGCTGTTCTTGTCCAGTTGAATATTCCTGGCTGCCGTCAGACGACAACTTAAACCACCTGCTGGGCGGTACAGCTCTAAATCGGACAAGCGGAATATTTGAGCATTCTTGCTTGGCGTTTGGTTTACGTCCCGTTCCCAGTGCAAATCGACTTTATTACATATCAGATCTGCGCGGTCGATTTTATAGTGCCCGGATACATTTGTCTGTCACCATGTTAGCCATGTGATTGCTAAACTTGCTTCCTCAGAAGTCACCTACCGTGCTGGTGAGAAGGAGCTTATTGACGCCAGGCCTCAGAGTGTTCGGTTCTGGGGTGTGCAACCAAACCTCCTTCGCCCCTCCTGGCGTGGTTCTGGATAGACGAATTGTAGCCTTTTCCAAACTCAGATCATCCATGAGCAGACTGTGCAATTTGACGGTGAGAGAAAAGCAGTCTCTCCCGGTGTGGTATTCGGGGGGTCCAACAACTTCAACTTGGGTGAAGAAGTGCCCTAGAGGCACCCTTACTTCATTGGAAAGTGTCTTTGCCACACTCAGGACGTCGTCGAGAAAACCAGCAATAGCGCTCTTGTCAGGATACTGGATCTCCGAGCGAGCTCCTAGGGACAGTCGCTTTCTTCGCTGCAACTTTTCGTTCTCTGCGGCGGCTGCTTTCGCCAAAAGTTTTAGTCCTACGCGAATGAACTCGTCCTTTCGTTGGAGCTCCTTGAGACATCGAGAGTACATGACGAGCATCGACAGTTCCAACAAGCTCCAGCTGTTCTCTCCAAAAAACGGCGTCGTCATGTAGAAGAATGATGCCGCGGGCCCGTACTCGCCCAAGTGATATTTCAACACAGCTAGGTCAGCCATGCTGGTCTTGACAGCGTGAGTATGGTTTGCAACGGTGTAATGGCGCAAAGCCTTGTCGGTGAGAGTTTCGTAGAGGCGGTAGAAGCCATCCCGGTCGTCAAGGGCGGCGTGCAAAAGGCCATTCTCAATGCCGGCCAATCCTATACAGAGTGGCTCTGGGTCGTCCAGGGTTGGTCTCTTCTCCTCGTCACCGTGGAGGCTGATGTCTTCAAAGTCATTGCCATCCATCTCCCCGATCACTGGCGCCGAGGTCCATCCAGTATCCCAGCCACGTTTCCTCCCACTGCCCTGCAGAACATTTCTGGAGAGTGCATACAGCTCGGCACGACGCGCGGCGAGTTCTTCTAGGCCAGCCTTCAAGAAGTGAGCGTTGGGCGGTGCTGCATCTTCGCCACTGGACGCTGGTGCGCCAGGGAAGATGCCGGGGCTGGGCGGTTGTCTCGTATCTGAATTTGTGCCTACGCGCAGAGAGGAGTTGCGAGCCGGGTGCATTATCGTTTTGAGCTCCGGGATCGACGACTTGGGCTCATGGCCGTCGGCAGGAGTAAGAGTGGATGGCGGGATAGGAAGTGCCTTTGTGGAAGTCTGAGCAAGGATCTGTTGCGCAACCGAGAAAGCAAAAGAGGCGACTAGGTTGTCGATAGTCTCGGCCAGAACGGGGTTGAGAATGGGCGAGTCCTCCTCCGTGAGCTTGTTCTTCAGTGCTGACAGGATGTCTGCCCTCATTACTTGCGAAACAGCAGGAATGAACTCCAATGTCCTGCGGCAGATCTCGGCCAGCATTGTCAGGTTTTCGGCTTCTTCCGTCTGTCTGGGGGGCGGTGCTCGCGGAGCAACACCATGGAGAACCGACTCCTGTTGCTCCCTAAGCTTTGCGAGGAGTTCCTCTCTCGTGGACCATGCGTTGCCAAGGCGAAGCAACAGAGAGATTTGCCTCGAGAAGATGTAGCAACGGAAATCATAGACTGAAACGTTATTGGCAACGATCATCTCACGATACGGCTTCTTCGTAGAACTGATGGGAATGTCGTCAAATTTGTCGGCCTTTTGTACTTCACTTGCCTGAAGATCAACCGGCTGTTCATCTTCGACAGATCCATCTTCGTCAGCCAACTCAGCGACGGCAGCTTCAGCACGCTTCACAAGATCCTCTGTGTGACTCAGCAGTGACCCGCCATGCGTTTGGGGGTCCCCGGATGCGGCCTGTTCTTGAACAACGGTGTCGAGGCCGACGCTCAGCTCGTCATAGCCGACAAGGGCATCTTCAACCAAGCCCACGCTCTCGAACCCACGCGCGAGACCCTCCTTCAGAATGAAAAAGGTACAAAAGTTCCATCCTGGGAGGACGCGTTGGGCATCTTTCTCTTTGATGTCCTCCTCGTACTGAGACACCCTCATGTCAAAGGACGACAGGATCAGCTCCTTGAACTTGCCAATCAAATCTTCCCAGGCATTCTCAGCATCCTGCCGCGACTCGGTGTAGCCAGTTGGGGTAGCAGGCACCACCCGGGGAAGAACGTCATACGGCACGTCGTTGATGCCGATCCGGATCTGGGCAACACGATCAATCGCGCCCTTGCTGGAACTATTGAAGTCGGACCGAAGCTTCTCGAGGAGCGTCGAGGAGCCCGAACCCCATCTCGATGTCCTTGACTTTTCGGTAACATCAGGGCCCTTGCCACTGACTCTGGGCTGGTTGGCCGCAAAAGTGTTTGGTATCACAACGTGGACAATCAGAAACTCGAAGGCGTCATGGTTCTCTTGCGTGCTCAGCTTCCGCGTCGACTGTGATGGGGGGGTGTTTTGCTTAATCCACTCTCGGATTTCGGCTCTCGTCTGAGACTTGTACGTGTCACTGTCGTCACATCGAACGAGCAAGACCTTGAGGTAGGGCGTCCGTCTCAGGCCAGGAATCTGATGGCGTCGTTCCTTGCCAGGTTGTCGCGCCACAATAGCCGGCGTTTCGGTAGCATCTGAAGATGCCGGCTTGCCTCCAATTGACTGTGTCTGGAAGCCATCGTCCTTGGCGCTCGCACTGGCAGAGCGGCTCAACGAGGGAGAAGCGGCAGGTGAAGTCGCGACGCCAGGCTCACCGCCAGCGGGTGTGAGTTCGACGTGGAGGGTGTCGATGGATCGCAAAGGACCGGCATGGGACTGCCAATGCAAGTTTCGAAGGGGCAGTCGAGGGACGAGACCCGGCGCTACAAGTTTGTACACATGGTGGGGATCGAAGTACTCAACTACGAAGCGCACGCTTAAGTCAGTTGGTTCGATCAGCGGAACAAATGGGATACGCGTTACAGCCGGCCCGTTGCGGGAGAGGTGGGCATACCGGTAACCTTCGAGGTTGAAAAAGGCCGCTCCATGTTTGAACGGCTCCCGATATGGATGTTAAATTTACATGGTCCGTCGGGGCATCATTACGCGTAGGTGATGGACCTTTTACTCCGTATGTGTTCGTACGAATACACCCCAGTGAGGTTCAAGCTGCTGCAGTGGAGCACACGTCGCACCTTCAACGTTCCTGCTTTCGCTGAAGCAGCTCTCCCAGTCGTCCGATGATTCGCCGAAAGCGGTGTGTGTCCACCTGCCGGATCGATTGGCCCAAGGACCACTGTTGGATTGGGGCGCGTCAATGGAGGGGCACGGCAGAACTTTTTTTTTTTTTTTTTTTGGTTTCTGGGAATTGGTTTTGCCCCTCGTCTGCGACGGGGGTGAGTCTCATGCTTGGGAGGGTTGGATTTCCGCCCAATCGCTACCTAGGTATTCACACTACCTGTTTATACTATCACAACATATATTACCTGGCACCTTCCCCTCTTCCTCTCCATTATAACTCTCTTCATCTTTGTCAACACCCAAGCACCGTACGCAATGTCTGGACTACAAGCCGTCAAGTACACTCGGGGTTGCCTCGAGGTCTTGGACCAACTTAGGCTTCCCCACGAGTTTCACTATGATAAGGTTTCCACCAGTGAAGAGGCTTTCGACTGCATCAAGTCGATGAGGGTTCGAGGCGCGCCTGCCATCGCCATCGTAGCTGCCCTCGCCCATGCCGTCGAGCTGCATAATGGAAGCTGCACAGCGTCTTCCCCCCAGGATACTATCTCTTACATCGACTCGCGCTTAGATTACTTAAAGGAGAGCAGACCGACTGCTGTCGACTTGACCAATGCTATCAATCAGCTGAAAACCCGTATCAGGAGTGCTCCTCATGATGATGTCAAGTCTATCATCGCCGCCTATATCGACGAGGCTGAGAACATCTTGCAAAAGGACCTCGAGACAAACCTATCCATCGGCCATCATGGAGCTCAGTGGCTGAAGGAGGTTGCTGGCGCGTCGTCCGAGTCCAAAATCTCCGTTCTTACCCACTGCAATACCGGCTCGCTGGCGACGTCTGGCCATGGGACCGCTCTCGGCATCATCAGAACTCTTTGGTCCAACAGTCTCCTCCGGCATGCCTACTGCACCGAGACGCGGCCGTACAACCAGGGCAGCAGGCTGACGGCCTTCGAGCTCGTCTACGAGAAGATTCCTAGCACCCTTGTGACCGACTCCATGGCCGCTGCCCTCTTCAACCTGCAGAAAGACAAGATGAATATTGCCGCCGTCATTGTCGGTGCCGACCGCGTCGTCCGGAACGGCGACACCGCCAACAAGATTGGAACGTATCAGCTGGCTGTTCTGGCCAAGCATCACGGTGTGAAATTCATTGTTGCTGCCCCAACCACCAGCATCGATCTCGAGACCGAGACTGGCGCTGGCATCGAGATTGAAGAGCGCAAAGGCGACGAGCTGACGCAGATTTCCGGCGCTGTCGTTCGGTCTGATGGCAGCGTTGACATTGCACAGACAGCTCGTGTCGCCACGGCAGATCAGCGCATCCACGTCTGGAACCCTGCTTTCGATGTCACGCCGCACGTCCTGATCGATGCTGTTGTCACGGAGAAGGGCGCAGTGGTCAAGAACGCCGAGGGACACTTTGATTTCCGTCACATCATGCCGGAGCGATGGGCCAGGGTGGTTGGTCAGTAGCGTATTAATTGCCTTGCGTGAAAATCGAAGAACCTCGTATGCTTCAGCTACGGCCTGGGAGTGGTTCACAATTAAATCATATATAGAGGATACGGCGTAATGACAATTGGACTACCAAGACACCAATGGGAATACAGCTTAAGCAGAATCTTGGAGGGCATGCAAAATCAGCTTCTGGTAGCCTCCAACAGCCTCCTCGAGCTCAGCGACTGTGATGTTCTCGTCACGGCCGTGGGCAACCAAGATAGTGCCCGGCCCGTAGAGGTAGCGAGTGTGTGAGCCCTTCAAGTTGGGAATATCAGTGCCATAGTTGGCCACGAGAGTCTCAAAGCCTGCGTTGTGTTAACTTGAAATTTCGTTCCGAACAGACGGGCCTTTCTTTTTCTCTCACCATCAACCTCACAGTTAGCCTCCACAACGCCGTAACCGTGAGTACACGTCATTTCGAGCGATTCGGAATCAGTCTCATCAAGAATCTTCTGGATTCTGTCCTTGACGATGTTGCCCCCGTCCTTTTCGGGACCAATGGCAACACGGACTGCAATCCTTGCCAATGCAGCCGCAGGAATGACGTTCTGGGCGACGCCGCCGTTGAACTGGCCAATGTTCACCGTGGTGTTACCCCATTTTTCGGTGCTTCCAAGATCGGTGGTGATGATTTTGGCCAGGGCCTTGATCATGATCTCGTTGGCCGATTTGCCAAGCCAAGGATATCCGGAGTGGCCAGCGACACCTTTTGCCGTGATATCGCAGAAAACGCCGCCCTTGTGGCCACAAGCTAGCTTGCCCTCTGTTGGCTCGCCGAAAATGACGGAATCGAAGCGGACAGGCGGGTCAGCTTCCTGCAGAGAATCGGAAAAGAATCGCATTCCGTCGCCTGTATCCTCCTCACCGATGACGAACAAGAGCATCACATCGTCAGGGTTGACTTTATCAGCATTGAACAGATCCTCGAGGGCGATGATCTGAGCAGCAACGCTAGCCTTGGCGTCCACGCTTCCCCTGCCGCTGATACGGGTGCCGGGTGTAATGTGTTCGTCAGAGATCCCATAAGGGATGTGCGGCGGCACGACATCGTAGTGAGACGAGACGACAACACGAGGCTCGGGCTGGCGTTGATTCGTCTTCCAAGCCAAGACGTTGAAACGGGGCGTTTCATTCGACGAGTTGTTGCGCGGGGGAAGAAACTGAAGAGATGAAACATAACCGCGACCAGTCAGGTAGTCGACGAGAAATCTTCCTGCGGCACTCTCGTTGCCCGAGACGGATGGAATCTCGATTAGCGAGCGGTGTAAAGACAATAGGTCATCGCGCCAAGCGGGTGCGGAGGAGGAAGTGGAAGAGAAGCTATGAGGCGTCAAAGGAGGAGAATCGGCGGCGAGGGGTTGCTGGATCCGGGAGGTGGCTGCCAAAGGCAGTACAGAGCCCAAGGCGAGAAACGGAGAGATGTACATGGTGCCGGTAGTTTCGAGCTCAGATGACCAGCTAGGTACTAGATATGAAGGTCAATTGTAGGCTTGACACGCTCAATCGGTGAGATAGTGCGCCTCGGGTTGGGGAGGAACGGGCCGGCGTGAAGGTTGGCCGGAGCTTGGCTTTGTTTGCGAACGGAGCGGTGTCGGAGGAAGATGGCGGCCCTGCATGCGTGCATGCATGCCTGCATGGAACGAGGGGCCTAAAGGGCAGCCGACGAGATAAGCAATGTGGATGAGGTCATGCCCTCCCCAGCTCTCGCCACTTGATTCAGCCACATGCATGCACGGATGCTGCATCAGCCACCCCCCATACTGCCGTATCTAGTGTATCCGTACACTGCCGTTAGGTACGGAATAGGTAGGTAGTGTACCTATGTTCGTGAGATGATCCAAGCTTCCTTTCTTCAAAGCTACCTGTACCTAGGGGAGAGCTACCGCCAATGAGGGGGGAATCTTCATCCGCGTTTCAGACAGATAAACCGAGGTTCCGTTCTTGAGTTCTCAAACATGCATCATTGAGTGTACACTGTGATTAGCTTACCATCGTTGGCGACCATTGGTGATTTTTCCTAGTAGGTAGGTAGAGACGCACCGCAATAAATATACTTAGTCATCCCGTGTAACGAAATGTGGTCATGGAGTCCTGATCTGTAAACAGATCGGCGTGATACCTACCGGGTCATGAGCGTCGTTTGCGAATGGTCAACTGATGTGCTTACTCATTGTGTACCTACTTCTTTCTCTTGGGACAGAGACAACCCAAATCTAGGGAAAATAGTTTTGGGGGGGGCGTCAAAGGACATTCAGCTCAGACAGCCCGAGACACAGCATCCAAGGTTTGTTTGCCACGATGGAAGCACAAAGCGGTGCAGCGAACATGCAGCCGAACGATTCCAGGCGGTCTCAGTGGATTGGTTGGCAGAGTTGCGCCCGCCCATTCTTTCCCCACACGTGGAGATACTGTACCTAGGTACTCCGTACTGTACCTACTGGTATTGCTTGGGGGCGAGACGTTTGTCCAGTAAGAGTGCTGCTGTACACCTATTGGGTGGAGGTCTTTCCGTACAGTCCGGTCCAGGTAGGTACCCAAGTAGGTACGGTTGATCTGAGCTTTTTCATTGGAAATCCCGCTCCACCTGACGGCTAATTACTCCCTGCCTGTCTGGGATTGGAGCGATGCGCTGCACTGCGGGAGGGTACCGAGGTACCTATCCCGTAGGTATCCTAGGTACCTGGCCTTGTTTCTCTCGCTCCGTCTCGCCTCGCCGGACAGGGACTGTTCGCGAATCCAGCAACCTCCCCCCTACAACCCTGGGAGCTACCTCGACTCGCATCAGATAAACAGCTTCAATCTTCAATTGCAACATCTCCGCCTTCATCACGACCCTCAACGACGCGCTTTCGGTCCCTGGTTACAACACTCGCCATCTATCCACCTCCTAGATGCAGCTGGCATCCTTTGCGCGCCACTGCGGGCTTCCGAGTCATTCATCCTGAACTTCCTCACGCTCTCCCGTCCGCCCCAGAACTCGACCCCGTCTTCGACTTGCCGCATATTCCGCCTGTTCGAGCCCACTTGCTCTGCCGGGCTTCGCTTCGGTCGGCCTTGACGTGCTAGTCATTGCCTTGCGAAGGGATGCAAGCGAACAGAGGGAATGCCGAGGCCCTGGGTCGGAAGGCCAAGGTGCGTCACCACAACCACCCTCCCGTAGTGCATTGTTGGCCGCGCAATGCTTGCCTGCCTGTCTGCTTGTCCGCGCGGTCAATCCCTCTTTCTCATTACCCACCAGGTCGTCCTTCTGATTCTAACACGGTGGTAGCTTGCTCGCTCATACCAGGAACTTCTCGAGTAAGTATCACTGCCTACTGCTTCTGTTCTTCCGTTCTTCCTCAATGTTCGACTCGAGCTGATTCTTTCTGCAGCGAATTCTCCAACAAAGATCTTAGCTCCGTCGGCAACTATACACTCGGCCGTCTCATTGGAAAAGGATCTTTCGGCAAAGTCTACTTGGCCACTCACAAGCTCACCAATGGATCCAAGGTCCGTTAGCCGACTAGCATCTAGTCAACGTCGCGTCTTCAGCCGACTGCTAACACGCATGGTCGCAGGTCGTTCTCAAATCCGCAAACAAAGGCGACTCGAATCTCGCGCGAGAGATCCATCACCACCGACAATTTGTTCATCCTCACATCGCACGATTATACGAGGTCATAGTCACGGAAAACTTGGTGTGGCTGGTACTGGAATATTGCGCAGGTAATCTATGCTCTGACTTCGGCGTATGAGCGCGACTGACAGTGGCCCCATAGGTGATGAGCTTTACAACTACCTCCTCGAACACGGCCCGTTGCCTGTGCACAAAGTCCAAAAGATTTTTGCCCAGCTCGTCGGCGCTGTCGCATATGTACATCAACAGTCTTGTGTCCACCGGGATCTGAAACTCGAAAATATCCTTTTCGACAAGCACGAGAATGTCAAATTGGTGGACTTTGGCTTCACTAGAGAATATGAGGGCAAGTCCAACTATCTGCAGACGTTTTGCGGCACAATATGCTACTCCGCGCCCGAAATGCTCAAGGGGGAGAAATACGCTGGGGAAAAGGTCGACGTTTGGAGTTTGGGTGTCATTCTATACGCTCTGTTATGTGGAGAGCTACCATTCGACGATGACGACGACAACGTTACGAGGACAAAAATCCTCAACGAAGAACCGAAATATCCCGACCACCTACCCCCCGCCGCTATTCCGTTGATCCAATCGCTCCTCTCCAAAAGGCCGCTGCTCCGGCCTTCGCTTCCTGATATCCTCACGAACCCTTTCCTCGCCGAGCACACACCAGCACAGCAGGCGATTCTGAAATTGCAACGACCAGCCCCATTTTCGACGCCTTTGGAAAAGGAGACTCTTCAGCGTATGCGGAGCGCGGGCGTCGCCATTGACTCGGTCATAGAAAGTGTTCTGGCCCAGCGGTGCGATGCTTTAGCCGGCTGGTGGACGCTTCTCATCGAAAAGGAGCAGCGAAAAGTGCGGCGGAGGGAGAGGAAGCGTCGTGAACGAGAGGCTGAGAACAGAAGCCTCCGTCGCCTGTCTGCGGCGTCCAGTCGACTCGAGCGGATTGCGCCGGTGCTGCAGGAGGTCGACGAGCACGGCGGGCTGACAAATCGTTTCATCAGGCTCGAAGATGCGCCGATAACCCCGAGGACGAGAGGACGGTCAGAGAGGAGGAGTGCCCACTACTCAGATTTCGGAGACTTGCCAGGGCTGCCAGAACACGCCAAGGAGAATGGAGGCCCGGGTACGGACGAGCACCCGCCACCTCCAATCGACAAGGACTCGGTCCGGTCTGCGAGCACATCCGGACATGGTCGCCCGGTTCCTCCCCCTAAAGAGGGTGTGGTCCGCAGCGCGAGATCTCGCGGTTCGACTCTTCACCTAGTGACCACCTCCGAAGCTTTGGCGGCTAACAGAACGCCAGAGCGACCCCCTGATCAGCAACAAAAAGTCCGAAAGAAGCCGTCACAGGCCATTATTGCCCATTGGAAGCACTGGACGCATTGGTTCTTTGAGAATACCCGTAGGACTAGGCACGCAAGCAAGAGAGGCAGCCACTCGACACCCAGCTTGGTCGATAAGAACGGCAGCGTTGCAGGCAACAGCAGCAAGCACTCGAAGGACAGTAGTCCTCGGCCGCAGACGGGCAAGAATCCGATGACGGACAACTCCGTAGCTCAGGCCAAGGCCGGTTTGCCTCGCGGAGTGGTAGCCAACGGCCACCTAAACAAGGCCCTTCCAGGTCATAGGGGGTCTGGCGCATTCAGCAGCCCGGGATCGGGAGGAGGCTCCACGCCATCGCAAATGCCGTCTCGGATATCGACATCATACAAGCGACAGTCACTGTCGCCGTCTCCCATGACCCCTCGAACAACAATGCGGCGCTCCTCCGCAGGGCTGAGAGGTCGTAAATCAACTTCATCGTCAGTATCTTCTATTCGATCAATGCCCCATCACCATCACTCTCATTCCAAGGCTTCCTCGACAAGCTCAAATGGCTCAGTGTCGACATCAATATCCAAAAACACCCTTCAGCGCGGACAGTCACCCCACCATTCTGTCAAGGTCCTTCCTGCCACCCCGACCTCTACGACATTTCCATCCAACATCCGCCTAGTGCGTGGACCCGGGCCCCCGGCTCCTCTTGCTTTGTTCACTGAGGGCATGCCCCCACCGCCAGTATCGGGGGCGCAGGCTCCCGGCTCACCGAATCCTTTTGCACAGGGAGGGGGTATTCAATTTGCCAAGCGAAAGCGTAACATCTTCAAGGGACCGATGCTAACTTTCGGTGGCGGCGGTGCTGGTGGCGGCGGAAGCGGCGCACGAAGTACGGGATCCAGTCATTCCCGGAGTGCAAGTGCTTCCGGTATGGGGCGTCGGTCTGGCGAGGTGACCATACAAGAGGAGGAGGAAGGTGAAGAAGATGAAGAAGAGATTGAGGAAGTTGACGTCTTCACACCCGTTGTTGGAGGACCGGGTGAGCGCATTGAAGAGCAGATCATTGAAGATGGCGAGACTGATGCCGTGGGAGCCCAAGCCAAAGCAGACACCAGCGCTGCTCCCGTCACGCCAAAGACGACGGCCCCGCCAGCTCATGTATGATCCAAAAGCTCGGTGCCGCTCTGATGGCACGCCAACTTTTTTTTGTTTTGTTTTCTTGAGGTGCACTCTGCGGCACAAGCTTCAACGCCCACGTTCGATAGAACGGCAGAGACACAAGACCCCATTGTGTTCTTTTCTATATTCCACTCTCGGCGTCGTGTACCATACCTTGAGGATACCTTGTACTAAACATGGGGCGCTGAGACTTTTTGCAATCAAACCTATATTCGGCCGATTCTGGCTACTTTTACCTCCGTTTACAAATCCTGTGATGTGGCTCTCTCGTCCAACCCAAACTGAGTTTGCCCGCTAGTGAGCGCACGCCACCCTGCCTTAACATGCCCTACAAATGCCGAGCTTGATCACCGCCGTCGCGCCTTGGCCGCATCTCTAAGCCCCTCCCGCGCGGCCACAACTTTATCGACAGTCTCCTGTGTCGCACACACGGATGCGTCAAATGGCTTGAGGGCTGGATCGCCCATGATGGCAAGTGCAGCCAGGCCCAAGAAGCCGTGATAGATATCCGGCGGGCCACCGGGATATTTGGAGAAACCGCCGATGAGATGTTGCGTCTTGCTCATGATGAAACGGCGAGACGGTCCGGCATCGATGAGACCGGCACAGTCCAGCATCTATAAGGTGTTTTCAGGTCAACGCTGGTGCTTTTGAGACGACCATCCAAGCCGTACCTGTAATGTCCCGCCAACCCACCAACAGTAGCACGTATCCGCCACCTTGTTACATCTCCCGTTGAAACCTACAAAACGCAGATTGGGGTCCAGCGAGAGCCCGGCCAGTGACTCGGGCAGGGCAAAGTTGGCAGTGTCAGGGTCGTCTGAGTCGTCATCCTTTTCGAGATACTCGAACTGACGATAGACGAGGAATCTGATTAGAAGCGACACGTCAGGGACGCCCTGCTTGAGTGTTTCGCTGACGTGGTGCTTCGCGCCCTGCTGCGGCGGTCGATCGAGCAGAACTAGGGCGCTTACCGCGCACCATGCGTAGCCGGCTAGTGGCCACTTGAATCAGGTTTGTTTCTTAAAAAAGAAGAAGAAGAAAGAAAAGACACATTCGAAATGCGCCGACGTACCGTGGGATTCATTCTGATGGGAGCTCTGTGCGAGTCCACCATCGTATGTTTGGCCCTGGCGAATGTGTCTGACCAGCGCATCGACGTCGATATCCTCGACCCAATCCGCGTCCCCTTCTTTCACGTCGCCTCTCAGTGCCCACCGTATGGTGGCAGCCAAAAAGCATAATCTCATATCATTTCCACCCTCTATGCTTCCGTCATCCAGGACGAGCTCTCCAAAGCTCCCGTCCGGCCGCTGCAATCGCTTCAACCACCGCAACGTTGCAGCCCTATCCACGCCTGCGAAGGCATTCTCCGCCGTTTCCGGCCCGTCTGCGACGATGGCCAAGATCAATAGAGCAAAGTATGTCGATGCCAAGTTTGCCGAGCTCGAGTTCCTTGTCCGAGGCTTGCCCTTTCCGAAGTCCCAGTCCTCGTATAGCTCGGCCGGCAGGGCGTGGTTCGGGGAGCCACAGAACCCGCCACCAGGGTGGTAGAGCCCCAGGACGAAATTGCGCGCGGCCGCTCGATCGGTGGGCGTGAGGAGATGCGGTTCCTCTTTCGACGGCTCGGGCGGGGAGAGGATGTCGAGGGCGGCGAGGATGAAGAAGCTCAGGGCGATGCGCGTGCTGTCGGAGGAAGTGTACTGGTGCGGGAGGAAGGTCTTGTGACAGCGCTGCCAGTACTTGATGTGGCGCGCCTTCTCGAGCGGGATTGCGGTATCGGCCGTCATCTTTGCCGTTGTTCACTCGATACTGATTGCACACCTGGAGGGAGTGGTGAGGTCGCTGGGGTCCAGGTGATGTGTTGGTTGAAGGAAAGACATTCCTGGCCGTTGGAAAGGTCTCGTTCCAGACAAAGGAACCCCACCCCCCACCCAAGCTGTCTGTTCTCGGCAAGGGGAGCTGTCATTTGCGCTAGCAGGGAATGCAACCGCTCAAAGACGGCCAGAGCCTCGCATAGCGGCATGGGACGGGACGAATGAGAAGCTCCGCTTCGATAAGCTTTCAATCGGCAGAATTAGCTCACACCATCCGATAAGACATCAACCGGTTTAACTGCCTGTCCATCCCATGTTTTTCTGCAAACGATTGCGACCACTTCACTTCCCCCCCCAAACTCCTCTGCTTGACCATCACGAAATCGGCTTGGAAATCGCAAATATGGCCATCATCTCGGCAAGAACCATCGTAACCTCTCTCTCCCTGTTTCACATCACCCTCGCCTACTTCTTCATCACGAACCCGGCTACTATCGCCGACCAGGGTCTGGTGTACATCCTGGGCGAGTCCATGGGCATGGTAAGTCCCTGAGCTCTCACCGGCACTGTAACGTGCATTCCCAGAGGTCTGACATGTCTCCTTTCCTAGCCCTATGCGCGGAGTTTCGAGAACAAGTCGCCCGCCCTCGCCTTCCTAGCTGCCGTTCTCGGTATGCTGGGCGTCAGCGACCTAGTCACCCTCAGCATGCCCGAGGAGGTTTGGCTCATCTACCATTGGGGGACCCAGGGTAAGCTTGCTGTCTTTTTCCCTTGCCCTATAACCTATTGTCCCAGCTAAACAAAAGCCTCAATCAGCTCCCTTTCGCCTCTTCCTATCCATGATCTTTGTCATCTACACGTTTCTCTTCGGTCCCTCGTCGCCCCTATATGGCGGCTCGACCCGCGACGGCAACCGCCTTGCCCACCCATTGGCACAGGCGAACAACCCGCGCTACACGCCTTCGACCTGGGGCGGCGATGCCCTCAAGAATCGCGTGTTCTTGACATTTGCGTTCCTAGAGATGCTCTGTTGGTTCTGGGCGTGGATGACGCTGCGCGAGGAGCAAGAGCAGTTCCAGAAGAAGCAGAGAAAGCGGAGGGACAGCCAGTAAAAGCCACGATACAGTGTTCCCGTGAAGGGGTTTCAATATCGATTGTACTTGTACAGTGTAATGCTAAAGGTCCGCCCCGTCCCTTGATAGGACGGCCTGCTGGGGAAAGGGGATATCCGGCTGTCAATGTGGCCTGGGATGCATCATTTGGAATTGTCAAAAGGACGGTGTCATGAAGAGGATATACCCGGATCATCTGTGATTTAGTCGAAGGTTATGGGGTTGCTTGCACGAGACTATGTTTCGGGCTCCTTGTCACTGCTGACAGACTATCGCGCTTAGCTACAACATGCGAGCATGCTGCATTTACGAGTGACATGGGACATCTACTCCCACCGCACCGATTCCCAGCCCTTCAAGTTCGTCCGCCAGCTGTCTACCACTCTTTGCGACCAAACACCAAGATGTGCCCCAGCCACATCGCGAATTTGCTCCGCCGACTTGTCCGGGTCCGTCTCGAACGTCCAAGAGCTTAGTTTATTTGCGCTCAAGCTATCGCTTTCCTTCTTGAGGAGGATAACCCTCGCTTTTCCCTCGGTCATGGCGGTCCCCGCGGCGGCATCCAAGGCCTTGACTTGTGCCATGATTTCCTTGGGCACATTGCTCTGCCCAGATCGGTCCCTGTCCTTCTCCCGCTCGTTGAACGCAACGATATGCGATACAGCCAGCTTCACGGCCGCTGCAGCGTCGCGAAGAAGAAACAGACCATGCAGCGAGCTCAGCATCAACAGTGCCTTGATTCTGTCCGCATCAGCCGGCGTCGACAGGGACTGGGCCCGAAGACCTTCGAGGCCAGTTTTGATGCCCGAGACGATGCTTGACAGGAGTTCTGGGGGTGGCGGATTCTGGCTGGCGGCGACGGCGAGGGGAACCAAGGAGCTAAGGAGGGAAATAATCTCGTAATACGTCTCTTCTTGCTGTGTAAGGGCGTTTCCTCGGGTGTGCAGGAATATGTTCAACGAGTTGCCAAGCCGCTGTAGGGATTCTGAGACAAAGACCTGCTCCGCTGCTGTCGTTTGAGCAACGTTGGTTACTTTGTACGAAGGTGCGGGCTTGAAGGAGAGGATGTCGATGAATCTCTCTGCAGCAAGGGCTAAGTGAGAACGACAGTTCTGGTTTCTTTGATTAGTGCTGTGCCATTTCTGTATCGGGGAAGATCATACTGATGGATCCGGTCCAAGCCGCAAGACGTCATAAATGGGTCGGCTCGTCGCCGCCTCCATGTTGGGAACAGATCCGTAATCGATGACCTCATTTAGAACAGAGTCGTCGGTAATTTCCTCTGGCAATCACTATTAGTTAATGCATCTACTACCTCGAAAAGCCTTGGGATAGCTCACCAATCGCAGGCTCGTCGAATATTGAGTCGTTGCGGATGCCAAGAGCTCGTGCAGCTCTAGACTCCTCGACGTATCCCATAACCAATGTGCAGCTCGACCTCAGATGCTCAATGTAACTCGGAATGTCGAGAATAGCAGTGTAGCTCTCGGCTTCGAAAGCATCGGCCAGCCTTCTGGGCATTCTCAGCTTGAGCGACGTGTTGTAGTGCGCCTTCAGGCCTTGCATCAGGCCCTTCCCAGGCTTGTTCGGGGGGATGACCAAGGTAGGAGCGATGCTTGACAGACGATCAAAGAAATAGGGGCCTAGGGAGTCAATGATGGTTCGCTTTACGTCTGCTGTTTCCCACACCTCACGAGCTCGAGATGCGCATCCGAGCACGAGATAAATGCGCACCAGGAGTAGGGTCAGTCTCGTATGCTTCGGGGTTTTAGTGAGCTGGTTCTCGATGAGAAGGGCGGCCTGAAGCACACGATCAGATCGGCCGCTCTTCATCGTAGAGGTAGGGTTGAGAGCGCAGCGTTCGTGGAGGCCGCTTAGCTTTATGCAGCATGTTGCTGCGAGAATGGCCAATTCCGGTATACAATCGAGGGACAGATTGGTTTCAGAAGAGTGGATGAGGGAGGAGTACAGAATCAACGTGGACTCCAACAAGTTCTGCACACAACTTGCGCAAATAGGTGCCTTATTGACAGTTGCACACACGATGCATCTCCAGTTGTTTGGCTTTTTCGGGTCCTCGTCCGAAACACGGACAAGCATTTTCGAAGTAGAGAGGCCAAGGTACTGTAGTTTCAAAGCCAAAGCTTTTACAGATGCCGACCTAGCAGCTTCCTTGGACTCTTCTGCCAGACGAGTGACGTATTCATAAGCAAATTCCTTTACTTGGTGTGGGGGAAGGCGCTCGACGAAGGCCTTGACATCGTCGAAACAAGCGGGTGATTCGCACTCGATATCGATATACCGGCAGAGCTCCTCGAACGCGTCTGACCTCGCCTCGGAGCCTGTAGGTTGCGAAAACTGGAAAGTTGCCTCGACCTTGGCCAGACGGATGTTACGCTTATAGATTGAGCGGACGTTTTCTTGCGTCAAGAACCGGTCGACGAGTTCAAAAACTTCGGTCGAAGCACTACGACTCATCAGACATGACCAACTCGACCAAGCCCTGCTTCACTTACTTGTGAACCTCCCCTGTTCGGCCAGCAGCATTAAGGAACTTCTTCCAGACAGCCCAATCGCATGCGAGAAGACTCAGTTGGCCCTTGTCATCCGTAGCCGAAAGGCATTCTCTGCAGAGGTCATACACCGCTTTCCAGTTTTCTTTTCGCTCAAGCACGTCAATAGTCTGGAGGAAGAGATCCTTGCGGCCAGCCTTGAACTGATAGACGGGATTTAGAGTTGGGCCCTGGAGAGCAGCATCCAACTCCGCATCGGAACCGTGAGCTTCTAGTAGGCGGTAAAAGAGGAGAATTTCTTCCTCTGTCTTGATCGCTCGATCGGCCACTTCGCCATGCGCTCCGGTGCCTGCCTGAGACCAAATCAGCCACCCCAGCCATTCCGCTTTGTGGCGCGTATCTTACTTGCTCAGTCAGTTGGGCAGCGCGCTGCATTTGCTTCAATGACAGCATGCCGTAGAGCTGCTTCTTGCCAGCGGGGCACTGATCACTGGTCTGCAACTGAATCAGCCATGTTCTGTCGTAACTTGGCAGTTGAAGAGGCTCACCGCAAGCAAATGGGTGATGGCAATGTTCCAGAACATAAAGCTTCTTTCTTGGGGAAAGGACCTATCAAGAACAGCCGCAATCTATGTGAGCTTGTGTTAGGCTACCATGGCCATATGTAATGGGAGCGACACTGACCTGTTGCGCGCTAACCAAGTCCCAGTGCAATAGACAAGATTCGAGACATCTTGTTCCGCCGTTCTTGTCCTTGGGGTTCGCCTTCACATATCGCAACTTCAGGGGTCCAAAGGTCGCTGCGAAGTCTTCATCTTGCATGAAACCCTCAGAGGCCCACTCCAGCAGTTCAAGAGAATCGGCATCTCTTACAGCGGACGGGTCCTTGACCAGCTTCTGGATTGCAATGAGAGGTGACGCCTTCTCCAAAGGTGACTCTAGATGGCTCTCGGCGCATACTCTCACTGCCTAAGTGGTGTGATCAGTTCGGCTCGGGTCTATTGGGGGTGGGGGGAGGGGGCTAGATGAGACAACAAACTTCGAAGTAAGGATCGTTGAAGGTCCGAAATCGTTTATCAGCAAGACGGATGACGTTGGCCCATTGTCCGTCGTTGAAGGCCGACTGCAGCTGCAGATCGGTGCCGCTCCTCAGCTGAGGCCGGTTCCAGGACATGGTGATGCTTCTGATCGGATGGCGGGGCAGAATTGGCTTTGGAGGGGCACCACGCTGTAAGGTGCAACAGCACCAAGAACTGTGTGAGACGTCTAGGGATGATACCTGACTGATTGGCCGACCGGGTAAACCTCTTCTCCGATATCCGTCTCTGTCTCCACCTTTCCGTCTTGAGGCAGGTCAAATAGATGTCCCTCCCCGCTCAACGAGAAGCCGGACGCTAGAACAACGGTCATCAGAGGGCATAAGAAGAAAAGGCTGATGGCGATCTGAGTCGCGGATCGTGCCAGCTTAAGAAAAAAGAAGAAGAAAGAAAAAAAACTTTTGTTTACCAAGGCTGAAAGCATCCGCCCTCATGGCCCGGTGGTCTCTCAGCAGCCTCTCAACGGGCTTCCAGGCAGTCCTTCTTATTGGCATGTCCGAATCTACTCGAATGACATAACACCTCCTTCCCGCATATGCAGCATTATACATATTGTACACTGTTCCTGGTTTCGTACTCGACATTCCCCGCGATCGCTTCAATGATTGAACAAATCGGTCGGTTCGATCCGTCTCGTAATCGTCGCAAATAGTCGCCCGAACAAGGTTGGAAGTTGACCCATCACCACCACCCGCCGTTCTTTTTTCTCTCTTCTTTTCTCCTCTCGAACTATTGAAGGAGGAAAAGATCAGTGTGCTGGGATCGATAGATAATTGGGAGGGTTGCATGGATACGAACCCAGGCTTTCTTGCAATCTCTATACGCTCTGAGAAAATATCAGCGCTGCAGGACTGTCACTTGGTTCTCATCCTGGGGTTTAGTGCACCGACAGAACACAAAAGGGTGTCCTTACTGAAAGTAGTCACCGCACATTGTTTTGTCGCCACCGTTTCGGTGCAGGCACTTGATGCTCTTCTGGGCGAGTTCCTGACAAGGGTCGAAGTACTCGCTCTTGGCTTTGCTATCGCGCGGTTTCAATCAGCTTTATCCAGTGTACGTGCTACGCAGAGGCCGCAGAGGCCTTGTCTACCTTTCGAACTTGGCCTTGCTCTCGGCGTAAGAGTCGTCGACCTTTGCCGGTGCACCTGTCGCAGGGTCTTGCGGGCTGCCGGTAGACATTATACGGCTATGAATGGGGGTTGGCGATAGCGGCGTATCGGTGAGGACTTGGGTCGAGGTCTGTCAAGTTGATTGAAGAGTATTCGCGGCGGATGCGCTTTGTTGTGATGCAATGACATTGATGATGGCGACGGGCATCCACATGTACTTTGCGATAAGATAAGAGGTTGGTTTGTTGCCTTGACACTCTGGAGAGTTTTTTCAGGCACTCATTTCCAGAAACGCGATCCCCTACAAGTGTCTGGTACCACCGAAGGGTTTCTGGACAGTGCCCCATAATAGTGTGTTTATGGTGACTTTCAGGGTCAGGTATTACCCGCCCACAACAGAGTAGGTATCGGAAATTATCTTTATTCTTGCCTTTCAATTTCTACGTCATTTAGACCAGACTGACATGGATCTATATTCTCGGGCTTTCTTTTTTTTTCCTTCATATAAAGAAAAGAAGAAAAAGAGACTTGGGGAAGAAAGTAGATCTAGAGACAAAAGGGGCAGGAAATCAGATGTATTACTCTACACTATGTGTGATAACTGAATTGTTATACAGTATATACTTATCCAGTCATAATCATTAGTCACTGTGCAGAACCCACCCCACCGGTTTTACGATGACCATAAGATCCGCTTCTATGATTTACATCCGTCGGCTACACGGCCAGGAGTTACCGCCCAAGAGGCAGACAAGACATTCTGAGGTGCCCTACCGGTATGTATGTACCCGTATACTTGAGTTCGACTTCGCTCGCCCTGCTCATTCCGATTTTCACTCTCAGCCTCTCTACGGTATTTGGTCAAGGACACGGCTCTATTTCACTGCAACAAAAACAAACAAAAAAGACTGAGAGTTGCGACGACCTGCCAAACATGTTAGGCACTACATGTCGCCGCCATTGTCTGTCATATGGAGCATAACTGCACAGATATGATAAGCAGACCATTCCTTTACAATCCAATGGTCGTCAATCTCGTCCTCGCGCCGGCCCAACAACTGTAAAGCGCTTACAAACCCCCCTCGTGTCTCACATTGTCCGTCACCCCACCAGACAGACTCCTCGGCAATTTTGTCGACATGTCAACCTCAGTGACAGGATAGTTAAGAGTACGGACTAGAGACAAATCACAACTCGGTCTGTTCTGGTGCAGCCAGGCGCCTGGGAACCAACTGAACAAGCACACTTCATGCAACCGCCGTCACATGTCAACTCTCCTCGACCCCAAAGGCCAACACTCAGTGGTGGATGAGAAGACAATTACCCACAGGGGGTGTATCATCTATTGACGCGGGTCACCTAATATCAATCTGCGTCGCCGGAATCCTGCCGTGCAGGCACTATTATTGACGCCTCTGCGGGTCTACCGGGTTCTGCTGAAATACGTTTGCCTGCCGTGTCCCCAGCCGACGCCGCTGACCAAGGCCGAGATGCTATTTACTCTCGCTCACAGTCTAAGCGAGGTCTAGACTGACTTATTGCCTGTCTGTCCCAGATCATAGGTATATATGTACGGATACTATGTACAAAGTACTACCCAGCAGTAATGGTTTGAATGGTCTCTGGTTAGCCCAGGAGCATGGGTTTCTACGATTACAGTCCAGCGCGAGTTGCGGGGTTTTGGGGGCCGCCAGAGGTGCAATGACAATGAGTAGTCTGTACCCTACGAAGTAAATAGGAAGACCAACGTCAGTCGCCCCACATATTGGGAACCGTTGATAGTCTTGGCACGTTTTTGGTAAAGATCGTAATCTAGGTGCAACTACACTAACAGATTGAACATCATGCAACATACTATGCTTAATTGCTTGCCAACACCAGCACGGTCAGCGCCTCCGCTATGTACCCAATTGTTTAAAAAAAAAAAAATAACCCCAAGTACAGAATGCCTTGCTAAGCGAGAGAGAGAGAGAGAGAGAGAGAGAGGTCATCCCTGAATGCCAGCTCGGATCAACACCCTGCCCAAGTTCATAGGATCGACCGCAGACGAATTCGCGGGTCTATCTCCGACATGTACTATGCATATGTTTGCCACGCACTCATTTCGGTTCGCCTTCCTTACCGTCTTTCAATCTATCCATACGCCCTTTTTCCGACGGGGACTGTACACTAAAGGACCCCTTGAACAGTACAGGTACTTCACCAAGTTCCTAGGGTGGGGCGCCCTGCAAATGCTCTTCTCTCAAATGATGCTATCTTCTCAATCATGAGCGAACTGGTCTGACTATCATCTGACTGGGGTCCTCTTTCGCAGACCTGGCTGCCTGATGTTGCGTCTTGCATCAACGACCTGAAACTGGGCGATTGATACTTTCCTTCCTCTTTTTTTTTTTCTTTTGTCTTTTTCCCTTCTCTCATTCCTTCTGCCATCTTTCTCTCCCGCCCTCACTCTCTCAGCTCACCAATCACAAAGTTGACAGGCCCACTGGTGGGAACCGAGTCTCCAAAGAATGACTTCGCCATTTGGTCCATCGGAATTATCGAGAGTGGCCTGGAATTGGCCCCCAAAGGGTGTCTCCTTATCAGAGCCAAAAAGGGCGGGTTGTCAACACGTTTCAACCCCGGTAGCCAAGGATTGCTTTGGTTAGCCGCGCCGCTGCAGGGGGACATGTCTAGATCCACCGTCGCCCTGTCCAAGTGTTTCATATCCCCATATTCACTTTAATCGCAACGACTTCATTAATTACACCCATCCTCGGTTGCCGCCGAACGACTAGGCCGCACACGGCCTGACATGCTACCTCACCAATCCATCAGCCTCGTTTCTTATTGCGACGTTCCCGCAGTTCTTGGCAGGAGGGAAGGTCGAAACGAGCACCTCCATCCGATGCCATACCAGCGCTACCCCTGCTCTCCACGAGTGCGCTAATCGACAAGTTGTACCTGTACGATACTGCAGATTGCTGTGCAACTAATATGGATCGATTTGCTGGAGGTTCTGCGCCAGGGATACAGGGGCTCTGACAGGCTGGATTGCGAGGCAACTGATGGAATCGCCAGCTCTAGCCGCGCGATGGGGAGCCAAGATGCAGTCCGAGATTGGCTGCCCACCTTGACCCAGGGAGTCCGGTGGGAATGGGCCACGTCCGGAGATGGGCATAGTTCATTCGAGATGCAAACGAGGCAGCTTTCAGACGGATATGGCTTAGGAGCTGTCGTGGGTAGAAAAGACAGCCTATCTACACACACATGTTATAAAGCCTCTTTATCCCACAAGTCAATTCCTGCTTTTCTCTTCCTTCCCCATCATCACATCGGTGTCATTCTTTCTCTGTACTCCAAGTCTCTCTCTTGTTGGCTGTGCCATACACTCTTTTGACGAACTAGACGTTCGATCACGCTCCCTTAAGCACAACCTCGATTCACTTCTAAACCAACAATCTTCTTCTCGCCAAAAACCCCCATCACAGCTTTCAAGATGCGCTTCTCTTTCACCGCCGCCGCTCTGGCTGCCCTCGTTGGCTACTCCTCCGCCCATACCATGGTTGTCGACATCCACGTTAACGGCAAGAATGCTGGTGATGGTCGCTCTTTGAATGGCCAGGGCTCTAAGCAGTACATCCGCAGCCCCCCCAGCAACGACCCTGTCAAGGACCTCAAGAGCGCCAGCATCGTCTGCAACGTCAACGGTGGCAAGGCTGCGAAGGACTTTGCCCCTCTTGCCGCTGGTGACAAGGTCGCCTTTGAGTGGTTCCACAACACCCCCGGTGACGATATCCTCGACGCTTCCCACAAGGGTCCCGTCATCACATACATCGCTCCCTTCACCGAGGACGCCGGCACTGGCCCCATCTGGACCAAGATCGGTGAAGAGGGCTTCTCCAGCGGCAAGTGGGCTACAGATAAGCTCATTGCCAACAAGGGTGTGTCCGGAGACGTCACGGTTCCCGCGTCCCTCAAGGCCGGCAAATACCTCCTCCGCCAGGAGATCATTGCCCTTCACGAGGCCGATACCACCTTCGACGTCAACCCGGCTCGCGGAGCCCAGTTCTACCCCTCCTGCGTCCAGGTCGAGGTCTCTGGTACCGGTTCCGACGCTCCTCCCCAGAAGTTTGACTTCAACACCGGCTACACTTACGCCGACACCGGTATCAAGTTCAACGTCTACGGCACCGACGGTTCTACTTACAAGATTCCCGGCCCCGAGGTCTGGACAGGCGGTGCCGGTTCCGGTTCTGACTCTGCCCCTGCGCCTGCGCCTGCCCCCTCTGATCCCGACACCGGCTGCCAGAGCCGCCGCTCCCTCAAGGAACGCCGCTCTGCTCACTACTAAAAGCAGTCATGACTGTGCAGCCATTGCTTAGCCTTGTTCCATTGATGATGGTCTCAGGCGTCACGATGAGCGTTGTTGATATATTTCACCTGACACCAGATGTGCAATTTCGACTTATGGCGTCCTGACTGGTGCATGGTTTTAGAAACAAGAGCTTCTGGCTGAGCCTAGTTTCGAACTCTGCATTCTTGTATATAGTCTCTTGAATAGCATTAAGCCTGCTTATACTCTTATATAAACGTCTATCCATCGATGACTCCTTGCCATGTCAGTAGGGTTCAAGCGCATATGCCATAACTGGCAACTTGAATGCTTAATTAGCCCGTTGCTTAGTCTTAGTGCTCAATTGTTAGCTACAATAGTCTCTGATGAGCTGATGAGGCAATATAACCCTCCGATAGAAGTATAGGAGCAATTGGAATATGTCGCTGGGCAAACTTAGGATGGTGTTGGAAAGGCCATCGGCCCTCTGATGCTAGCAACCAATAGCTGCCACATGTTGAAACTTGAAAGCAATGACCTGGAAAGATATCGCCCCAAGATGCGCAATGCGTCTGTATGTAAGATATATCTTGTACAAAAGCCAAGGCTATTTGCTCTGCTCGTCAATCATTTGGTACGTTGCTGCACTGAGTATTAATGGTCAGTTTTGTCCCGCATGTCTAATTGTAACAAGCGGCTCAAAATGTCGCATGGATCATCATAAAGATATTCGCGTGTAAGCTGAAAGCCTAATGCAGGCTTTGAGTAATGTAAGGGCATTGCTTTTACCAAAGTATTTTCTGGGTGGCAACCTTATACGGAAACATGTCTGCTTTCATGGCTGGGGTTTTCATCTAGTGCCACCCCAGTAACACACGCGTACGTTACTGTAGAATACTACATTTGGAAATGGCTTTGAAATACTTGATGGTCAATGATGGAGTGCGAGTCAGCCATGAGGACCAATTATCCTTCCAAGTCAATGGACACGTTAGCGTGTGTGATCGATTAAGCATCGATTGCACACACTAATCATTTCAGTCTCCCGTTACTACTGTCAAGGCTACAAAAAAGGACCGCCCCTAACTTCTGGATCTGAGGGCAATCGCCGGAGAATAATAATTAAGTGAGTGGAACATATATATGTCTACCACCAAGCAGCCGCCATGCCTTAATCAGCTTCCTTCCAAAGCCTTATGTTGCCAGAGGGAACTTGCGTTCTTTTTTCTAGCTCCGCAGTAGTGTTCTAAAGCTGACTGGTCTTTTCGCCCCACGTTGTTGACATTATTCATGGCGATTGTTTATAGAGATTAATAAAACGCCTCGTGAGCGCTTGCCCGACCAACTCTCAGCAGCGCCGCCACCGCCTTGAAATCTGATCACACACCAAACCCTAAAGTGAATGCTTTTGGTTTCATTAAAGGTCCATAGCATCAAGCCTCAAACGGAAAACCTCGCGTATTGTATGGATTTCGGAAGCATCATCCACGTGTAGTCCGTGCCTCGCACCAGTGTGCCGACTAAGTGAACGCCTCATGTTTGAAGTCGGCGGTAGCCATTGAGGCGAGAAGGAAGATCTGCAGATTCTAGACAGATATATCAGCCATCGGGTTGCTCCAATGAAGATTGTTGTCAAGGGTGCTGAAGGGTTCCTCAAGGAATGCACGCAATCACGTTGGCGGCACTACGTTGACATGCGTTGTCGAGGGTTCAAGATCCATCCACCCTTTTCTGGGCTTAGCCTGGCATTCCTAACCGGCAGATACTTGACCTACAGATAAGCTCAAGGTCTCACTAAAAATTCAATTCAGCTTATCTGTTGGAGGGTCAATACTCACCTAGCTCATACTAGCGTGTCAGAGAGCCCGTCTCTCCCGAATGTCCCGATTACGCGGTGCGGGAGTGAAGCACGACTGGAGTCTGACGCTCAATAACGGCCCCAATGAGGAACAAAATTTACAGACTTCGAAATGTGCTTCCACGGGTGCAGAAAGAACGGACGGGCGTTATGTCAGAAGTTCACATGCAAGGGACTTTGAGCTAAACTTCGGACGAAAATATCGTCTCAAGGCCTAGCGTCGTTCTATGCTCTAGTGTCCCTGAGGCTCACCAGAACCCTGGATCCAAGCGGGAGAAGAACGAGGTGGACAAAGCCTGTCGGTGCGGAAATCTCCTCTCGGCTACAGAGCTAAAGTCTGTTGCTCCGGTGCCCCGTCCGTCCCAACATTCCAACAAAACTCTTTTAGCCGTAGCGGGATTGACCCGGCTCTACAGCCTAGGCTGCCGCGGTGATCAATGCCCTTTGAGATATGACAGGGCTTGGGACGAAAGTTGGTGATCCGTTGCATGGTTTACGGAGACCTGCTCATTGGGGTCGCTGGCGCGCCACTTATGGATTCAGATTCATGAGACATGGCCAATTGTATCTCGAGGAAACGACGACTGATCAACCTTGGACTTACAAGCGTCATTCGTCTGCTTGGGCATGAAGTAAACAAATCTAACCGGAAGAACCCAAACAAACTTCCTAATCCAAAATCTCACACCGGGCTCGAATACGCTAGAGCCTATAGTTTAGATAGATGGTCAAGGCCAGGGGCGAATTTGGCGGCGGAATGCGCCACTAAACAAGCGCTCTACGCCGGTGTCTGCAACAAGATTGCCCGAGCGGCGAGAGGAATGATAAGGGAGAGGGGAAACCGACTTGAACGATGAGACATCAACAACAACAACGCAACAAAGATTAAAAGATGTCGAGTTGCATGTGAATGGTCACAATTTCACCCCTCGTTCCCCGACTGATCCACCTATTGCTCTCTGTTCCAAGCTCTGCGACTCCATAGTGCCTCACGTATCTCTTCTTATATCCTCTCTACGCGCCCCCGCCACGTTTTGGTTCCTTTCGAAATCCTGGCCCCGATGCCGTCCATAGCAGCAAAAAGATCTCCAGTCTCGTCGCCAGTCATGCCTTGGCTCTCGAGATCACCGTCGTACCAATCGCCCATCAACTCTCCACGCACATCACCAAGGTCGAGCACGTGTGGACCGATCAAGACATGCGGTCCTTCGGTGACTTACATCCCGCCGCTCATTGATGGCGCCTGCGGAACCGTCCCGCTTGCGCAGAAACCAGCATTGCCAATGTTACATGAGGATCTGCGGGAAATGTGGCTGATGATGCCAGGTCTGATGGCGTCGCTGAGAACCCACATGGCCAACCACCGCCAACATCTCTCCAAGAGCCATCTCAAAGACATGGTCGTCCAGCTCAGTTTGGCCATCGTTGAGGTTGGAATCATCACACTCGCCATTCCGCTATTCGCCGTGCTTCCCGGGATTCTTTTCGCCGCCTGGTTAGGAATTTCGATAAGCATAGTTTTCGGTCTGAGTTGGTTCATGAACGGCAACGAAATCATGGTTAGCTGTGACGAGTTCGGCAACAGCACTACAGACATTGACGGCGACAACGAGAGGTGGATCTTCATCGGTGGCATGGGTACAAGGTGGGCTTCTCTTCTCCTCCTGGTTCGCCGCTAGCCCCAAGAGCAAGCATATCGACTGACATGCCCGTCTAGCTCACACCACCTAACACAATGCACGATCCCTCGTCTCGCCCGCCTTTTCGGGCGCTCCTTCAGCGGTATCCAAATGGCAACCTACGGTCTGCCTTTCGACATGATTCTCCTAGCCATACAGCGTTGCTTTCCTCTCCAAACGCAGGCTTCGCGGGCGCTTTACGCCGAGCTCCGCTCGGTCCTCCTGGATGCCTCTGTCCACCGCGTTGCCGTTCTCGCCCACAACAACGGCTCTCTCCCCGTCGCCAATGTTCTCGCCCGCCTCTGCTCCGATATCCAGCCCGAAAAGCTCACAAAGTTGGAGATTTATACGTTCGGCGCTGCCGCTTCAGAGTTCGTTGTGCCTGTTGGCGAAAGTGGTCGCAAGCCGGCCCGCTTCGATGACGGCTCTGTCGTCGTTGAGGAGCGGGGTCCCCACATCGAGCACTTCGCCTACGCAAACGACCCTTTCGCACAGCTGGGCGTCCTCAGTTCCGTCCACAAGAAGCTCGAGAGCCGCTTCTGTGGCGGTGTCTTCGTTATTCACAACCAGGTTCCCCAACCTTCAGGCCACTGGGTGCCTGACCAGCGCCCGGTAATGCTCCTGACCGACTACCTCTCGGCTCTGTTTCCCGATCCGTCTTCTCCGCACGCCCCCAACAGCATTCTCGACTACATTATGATGATTGACAGAGACATGGCCGAGAAGCGCGAGCTGGCTGCCATGGCGAACTACGCGCAGACCAGGCGTTCCCGCAAGGACAACCGCCGTCTCAGCTGGACCGGCCTGGGGGCGACAGTGGGCGGCAAGAGTGGCGTCATGGATGGCGTCATGGGACTCGAGATGGTAAGACGCGGGTGCCGGGACTGCGATGGCCACCGAGGCCGTGAGGTCAGCTGGCTTGCCAATTACGTGCAAACTGGCTGGGTCGTGGAAAAAGAGTCGCACATCGTCGACGCCATGGGCATCGGGAGCAAGTTGTAAGTGCTTCCTTGGCCACCTAGTTAGTCTTGAAGAGCTGGCTAGACTTTGCTTTTCACACAAAAATTGGATAGGTAGATGGGATCATTTCAGAGGGTAACGGCAGGGTACGGAAGTTGGAGGACTGTATTCTCTCATCAGCATCCAACGATGGGGTTTTGGGACATGATACCGGAGGAATCATGATGTAACGAATCAATGTACGATGGGATGAACAGGCAGTGGTGTGATATCTCATCCTTTTCACAATACACTCTGAACAGGGCGGAAAAGGCTTTTTGGCGCTTGGGATTAGGCATATAGACAGACGTACACAGTAGTAGCTAGATTATTCAGACACGTATATCTCCCCAATAATACGTCTTGACGTCCGCGCCATGGAAATCGGCACTGTCTACACCAGCAACCTCGTCTTCGGCTGCCCCGGCGCATACCAGCAGGGGCATGAAGTGCTCACCGCCATGGGGAGGGTGCATATCGTAGCTGTGGGAGAAGTTTCGCCAGCCCGATAGCGCCTTTTCGCGGTCGTCGCGCTTCCCCTTCTTCACGGCATCCGTAAGATCCTTGCTCCACTCGTCGACCTCCTTGGCGACCCTTTTGACGGTTGATGCATCTCCTCCCATGAACAGGGAGCGTAGCTTGCCCATGTTGTGGAGCGAGGCGAAACCGGAGCCGAGAATGGCAACATTGGAATCACGTAGAGCCGCAAGGGCACGTCCCATGCGGAAGTGCTCTTCGGGGTCTTCCGAGGCAAGAACGGAAAGTTGGATAACAGGAATGTTGGCGGCGGGGTTGATGAGGAGAAGCGGGACAAAGACACCATGGTCCCAGCCTATCTTGCAGATTAGCCTCGAAACAAAGTTGGCGCACCCGCTTGTCGTGACTGCACGCCCAATGGCTGCTGTCATGATATCACATACCGCGTCGTGAGTCCATCACTGGTGAAAGGCCCTGCTTCTCGAGAGCTTGCTTCACCTCCTGCGCGACACTTGGTGATCCGGGGGCGGGGTACTTGAGTGAATACGCCTCCGGCGGGAAACCATAGTAGTCATAGTAAAGGTCATGACGCTCTCCCGATGAAATGGTGGGTTTGCCTTCAGACCAGTGTGCCGTGACAACGACAATCGCTCTGGGGGCTTCTGGTGTGTTGAGTTTGAGAATCTTGGGCACGCGGTTTTTCAATGAGGCGTTGAGGGCAGCGTGGCCAGGGTCTCCCAAGACGGGCAGGGGACCTTGATGCTGTAAGTAAACGCCGGGGAATCTTGAAGACTCTTGAAGGTGTGTATTTCTACAGACATACCTCCGCCGTGAGCGATACATACAACTGCACCGCGCGTCATAATGGGTGCTGATGTTTCAAACTTTCGTGGATGTGAGAAGATAGACCTGGCCAAGTTCCAAGTGCGGCGCAGAGTGTACGTGGTTAAGGAGGTTATTATTAGTTGTTAAATGGTCAATGTTGTGCAATCTTCTTGTTATTCATTGGGCCCTCGGAAGTTGTTTCGAGGGGAGGGGGCAGGAGACCTCATATAGCAATATAGCAGTGGTCCCACCAGCTGCATCTACCTAGTGTATTCTCCTGTTCAGTTGGCTTCGCACTGGCCCCTTCTCATTGGTCACCGCCTGATACTCGTAGCATCTTCGCCGTCCGGGATTGGTAATAACCGCGCGGGAACAAAGGCGATAGTCCAGCAACCCCAGTATGAATACAACGGCAGCAAAAGCCGAGAGGGCATTGCGGAGTCAATTGCTTCCATAAGCACACGTAACAGAACAACCCTGTTGTGATTTTGGTTGCGATACCGAAGAGGCGCAAGATGAATCAGCAGTAACTGTGAGCTTGGAACGCGCGCGGTTCCCGAGTCTCGCTTTAATGTACATATTATGGATCCTTGGAGTCGCAATACTGTTTGGACCGAGTGATGCCGGCGTTAATACCCCCCACCAACCAACTACACGAACACAGACACCGTGTCTCGGCCGCTACCAACCGCGCGGATTCTTCCTTCAATACTAAGGGGGCTGCCCTCATGTACAACAAAGTGACGACCATTCCCGGACTCCGGCTCTTTGATGCCAAGGATCTCGTAGATGTTGGAGGAAACCAAGTCCAGCGCCTTTTTCTCACTCAGTCGACCGTTTCCATTCTTTTGCGCAATGCCAGCAAGAAGTCCTAGGTCACGGACAAGCCAGTCCTCTTCTAGTCCAATGGCAGTCAGAACCCCAGCATCGAGGAGAGTGTCAATGGCGGTGCCGTTTGTGAGAGGAGCGCCGGTCAACGAACGCCTCTGGTCCCAGGTATACGAGAACGACTGGAACGGTGCAAGGACGACACCAACGCCGGCGGACGCCAGCTCAGAAGCAACGAGATGAGACTCTGCGCCTCCGATGATGGCGACACGAAGCTTGGGTGATTTCGTGGATTGGCTCTTCGCAGCGAGAGCCTCCTCGACAGTCGCCTTGACCCTTAGCACATTCGCAATCGTATCGGCACTGTTTATCGTCAGGACCAGGGGAAGCTCCCCGTTGACAACCTTCTTGAGATAGGCAGCTTCCGAGTATGGGTCCGAACCGGTGTCGTTTGTTGCAACCGCCTCCAGGAGGCTGTGTCGGAGTGCCCCGACAGCACTGGAGATGGAGGGGTTATCGCCTCGCTTGGCAGCCAATGTCAACGTTCGATGGACTGCAACATCCTCGCTCCATACCGCGCCCTTTTCGAGACCATGCAAAGCATCTGTGATGAAACCGACACTAGTGCCCGAGTGTGTCAAACCACCGGTGAACTTGGGCGCAGAAATGGCCTTGGTGACACCGTATCGCTTGGCCGTGTGCAGCTTCTTGTTGTCGAGCACAAGACCATCGATCGCTCTGCTGAATCCGGTAGGGTTACGGCCGTTGTCAGTGTCTTCCTCGGCATCAATCTCGTTGAGGCCAATAAGAGAGCCAAAGGCAGTAAAAGACTCAGTGACGTGGCCGTTGGTCAAGTTAATGACGCTCTTCGATGCAGACTTGGCGGCTGCAACTTCTTCACTGCAGGCACCAATGCACTTAATAGCGCCGTTGGCGAAGACGACGTTGACAGTCTCGTCGCCAGTCGAGAGAACACTCTTGCTGGAGAGCCAGACGTTGGAGACGCCAGTGAAAACGACTTCCTTAAGATCCAAGGTCTCCTCGGTGATGTTTGCTAGCCTCAAGTCGGGGGAGATGGGTCCGGTAAGGGGCTTTTCCAGCTCAAATGGGTCAGAGAACTGGGCCGCACCGTCAATCCAGACCTGCACAGGCGCTGCGCCGACACTCAAAGGATCACTATCCCAGACAGCAATATCGGCGTCAAATCCGGGCTTGATCTTGCCGATGCGCTGGCCAAGACCAAGCAATTCGGCAGGCGCAGATGTCACACTAGACAGGGCGACATGGTAAGGGAGACCGTATCTGTAAGCCTTGGCAGCCTCGAAAAGGACGTGCTGCGCGTTGAGAACAGGGTTGTCGCTGACGTAGACAGGAGTGAGGCCGTTCTCCCAAAGGATCTTGCCAGCGTACTCGGAGCCGATATATGATTCGGACTTGTAGTACATGTTGTCGGCGAACAGCGCAGAGGCGGGCGGGCGGCCACCCCAAACACGCTTCAGGATCTACATTTCGCATTAGCTGCCAGTGCAGTAGGGTCAAGTAACGCCCAAGCCTACCTCGGGAACCAAAAACGTTTGGTGAGCGTGGTGGAACGCCCGCACGGGGAACTTGAATTCGTTGGTGTGGTCGACGAATGCCTCCAAATCCGGAATCGTGTAGCAGTGGGTGTTGATGTGCACTTGGCCGCGCAACGCAGCGCTGAGGCTCTCCCACTTGAGGTCCTGCGGCAGATACGAGGTATGGCTTCCAACACCGAACTTGTCTGCGGCGTCGCACCAGTCGTCCTGGTCTCGCACGAGCTTTGCGGCTTGCTCAAACGCATGGCGAAATTCCCAACTCTCGCCAAGACGAGAAAAAGGGCTGTGGCCAACCTTCCCGTAAACACGCTTTGGGTTCTCGCCACAGGCCATCTTCATGTAGCGCCAGTTGCGGTCAGGGTCGGCCAACATATCCTCTGCCGAGAACTCGGTGCGGCCGTCGGCCTTGCCGACGGCATGCTTGATGACATAGGCTTCGCCTCCCATATTGTTGCCAGAGCCGGGCAAAACCAGCGACGTGGTGACACCGCCGGACTTGATGACCTGGATCTGTGGGTCGAGCGGGTTGATGCCATCTATCGAACGGACGTACGGGGTAATATCATCTGCCATTTCGTTGACATCTTGGTTGCCATTGAGCTCGGGCAGGGAGTTAACGCCGGCGTGAGAGTGCATGTCGATGATGCCGCTGGTCAGCTGGCGGCCCTTAGCATCCCAGACCTGGGTGTTCTTGGGAAGAGAATCGAGTGAGATGTCGGCCTCGACCTTCTGGATGAGACCGTAGTCGACAAGAACGTCGGCGGTGATCCACGAGTATCCTTTGCCAGCGCGCGCATCTTCCGGGGACGTTCCCTCGGCGGCCTCGCCAACCCAGATCGTGGCATTTCGAATGAGCGTCGGACGCTGACCGTCAACATAACGGGCGTTCTTCTTGCGGCCAAGACCAATTGGGTCTTGCGGCTTGTGTCGCAGCTTGGCGCAAGTTGCCAGGTCCTGTTGCAGGCGGTCCATGGACAAATTACTCGACGGTTGGCGAGCGGGCAGCAGAGACAGCTGCTTCCACTGAGCAAAAGCGATGAATGCAAGACATGCGACGATCAGCTTCATGCTGCGGCTGGGGCGCAACCATCGCTTGGGTTGGGATGCTGAGCGGCGTGGACCCGAATGCGACGGAACGACTGCGGCGCTGTATGGCGGCAGAAAGCCGCTCTTCTCCGACTCCATTCTGACAACAACTCGGCGATGGTCGAATGGATTAGGACGAGAAACCAGAAAAAAAAAAAAAAAGAAAAAGTCAAGGTTCTGGCAAGAAGGTTATTAAATCAAGGTTGGGAATCCAGCCCCCCCGAAGGATGAGGTTGCTTGGCCGAGCCCTTTGCCCAATGAAGAAGGTGGCAGATGGCCCGGGTGGATTATCGGCCGGTGTTTCACAACTATCCGTAAAGTGCAGACATCGCCGTCAGAATGTGAGCTTTGGGCCAACTGGAGGGGCACACAGGCTGCGATCGTTCCCTTCGGTGCGAATTCGGCGTTGTAACTGGTCGACGACATGGATGGTGAGAGCGTGGAGCCGAATGAGGAGCTCACGCTTGCGTGATTACATAGCTCTAGTGAGTGGTACGCTCCCGAGTCAGCTCTATTGGAAGGAGTCTACAGACAAGCTGATAATGCCCCCCCCCTGACAACCCGAGAGTACCGTGCACAATAACCAATAGGGGCCCGTGCACAGTTAAGCTGACAGTGGAGTAGGTGATAAGGCTCTAACCAATAGATACGCGCACACACGTCATAAAGGTCTATAGCTCCAAATTAAACAAGAATTTTTGTTCTTCTCGCTCTATATAGTCTAGCAGTAAGTAGTACTCCTAATAATCTAAAGGCTCTAGGTTTAACCCTAGCTTTTGTTAACTTTTTCTTTAGGTAATTCTAAAATAGCTCTACTAGGGAGGGTTAGAATGGTCTATCCGACCCTGCTTCCTCTGCTGCGCTCTAGGTTGGGATAGGCCAAGACTATCCCTTTTTGCCTCTGTTTCCCCTTTTCCCCTCTATCTATACCCTTATCTATTGGCTATAACTGTACGGAGGTGCGTTTCAAATCACCATGCCAGAAATGCCAAGACCACCCCATGTCAGTTAACAAGGATAATTGCAGGGGTTGCCACCTAAATAAATTGCCACTAACATTTTAACGATGCCCGCCTGGAACTTCTAATCGATATCTACTAGTATAACGCCCCTCTTTATATTTGTTACTACTATTAAGAGTAATAATAGCCTTAATATAGGCCAGCAGCCTCTCTATCTAGGCCTAGATTTACTCTTAAGGTAAGGCCTGCTAGCACTATTACTATACTTTTTTAGCTGTAGCCTAGTTAACTAGGGCACCCTTCCTTATTATAAATCGCTTTATCTAGGGCTAGTAAGGCTTAATAGGGTTAAGATTAGGGCTATTACTACACTAGTAGAGCTTTTTAACGTAATAAGTAGCGTACGTCTAGTAGATAAAGTAGTAATTATAAGAAGGTGCCTTATCCTCTTAGATAATAGTGCCTAGTAGGCACTCTTTAAGTATAAATAGAAAGAGCTTTAGTAGAAAAATCTCCTTCTAGTACTAGTACTAGTTAATTCCTCCCTTACTCTTATAAACTAACTTACTAGTATACTTATATAAAGGTATAAGTAGTATGCTACGCCTGTTAATAGACTATTTTAGTATTACTAAAAGATTAATTAGTTTAGGTACTAAGTGCTTAAAATACACTATATATAGCCTTATAAAGGGTAACTAGGCTAACCCCCTTATAATTACCCCCTTTCTAATATAACACGTCCTGAGTTGCTTTAGGCCTATATGCACTAGCGCTAGTAACTATACGCTAGAGCATAAGGTTATGTTAACCCTAAAGGCCCTAGGCGCCTAGCACCTAGCGACAGCTAGGGGACCCTTAGCTAGCGCTAGGCTTACCTATTACATATTAGTCCCTCTAAGCCTAACGTAAGCTGCCCCTTATTTATGCCTAGCTAACTAATCTACTAATTAATAACCTTCTAGCCCCTTAAGGCCTATACTAAAGAGAGTCTTAACAGGTAGGATTTAAACCTAGCCCTTATTAATAGCTAGAAGACCTACTTAGTGCTTAAATAATTATAAAAGTATAGGTAGTGTGCTACGCCTATTAATAGACTATTCTAGTATTACTAAAAGATTAATTAGTTTAGGCACTAAGTGCCTAAAATACACTATATATAGCCTTATAAAGGGTAACTAGGCTAACCCCCTTATAACTTATTCTAGTAAAAAGTTAGTTTATAGCTAGGGAGCTACTAAAGCTAAAGCCTACTTATCTCTCTCTCTAACTCTTATTTAAGACACTTAACTAGCTTTAGTGTAGTATTTATCTTTATAACCTTAGTATTAGTAGTCTGCTGTATTACTACTAACTTAGGTAACTAGTAGTAAGAAAGGCCTTTTTTATTATATATAAAGTAGCGTTAAAATATAAACTTAGAATATCTTTTTTATTAAGTATAAATATATAACTTTATATAAGCCTTATATACTTATTACTATAGATAGTAGCTACTATAGTAATAGCCTAAGACTACTAAGGTCTTATTAGACTAAATAACCTTCTTTTAATCTTTAAGTAACTAGTAGTAATATATAAGGTACTAAGAAAGCCTCTCTTGCTTTATTTAAGCTATTAAGCTAGGCTTCCTTATTAGTTTAGATTTTTTAAAGCTAGCTTACTAAAGGATATAGTAGACTATTATAGCTAAGATATCTATATCTAGCTTACTTTAGAGCTTACTAGTAATATTAGTATACGTCTTTTCCTTACTATATTAGTTATAGCAGACCTTCTTAATAACAAGCTTAGCTACTATAGGTGTAGCCTTCTTTAGTTAGCTAGTCTAGGGGGTATTATTAATATATTTAGGTTATAAAGAGAAGGTAGGAGCAGTTAGATTAAAGCCTTACTTTTTTACTTATTAGAGTATATTATTAACTATACGCTTTAATAACCTTAGGCCTTAGGCTACTTTATTAGCTAATTTACCTCTAAGACGGCTCTAAAGGGTAAGAATAACTGCCCGTAAAGAAGGGTTAACGCACGCTATAGTTGTAATAGTTAAAGGGGAAAAAGTGGTGTTGTTGTTGTTGTTGTTATTATTATTATTGTTGTTATTAAGGATTGCCTTGCTTTGGCCCCTTTTGGCCCCTGTAGAGAGGAAAGTGGGTGGATTAATCTAGCCTTTCTGATTGGTTGGATATATATTAAGTGGGTCCTACTGGCCGGGGTTGCTCTGGGCAGTTGGGCATGGTTTTTTGAAATGCACCTCCGTATCCATTGTCAACTCAAGCCTGCACGGGCCAGCGCGCACGGTACTCTCGGGTTGTCAAGGGGGGGGCATTATCAGCTTGTCTGATCGCTTATTGGAAGGAACCGGGCTGTATCTTTCTTATCTTATCTCACCCGTGTTATCCCTCTCCGATTGCGGGGGGAAATTCAGACATCCACTCCGTAGTATTTACCGAGTATTGGTGGACGCTATTATTGACGCTAGAGATCTGGTTCTGCTACAAACCAAAGGCAATGTACGGATAGCATGTTTATATTGGTGCATCTGCATGTAGCCCAGCAAGCTTCCGATGAGTCTCTGCATAAAACATCGAGCACTTGCTTGGCCAGGTAGCACAGCTTCGTCATCTTCTGTTCTATCGACATCTCTACTACTCACTCAGAACCAAACATCTGTACCGGACCAGACAGTTTGATAAAACGGGCGGAGAAAATCCGTATCATACAAATACCGTGCGATGGGCTTCCTCGTTACGTATAGACTACTCAACGATCCGTCACCGGGTGTCCACGTTGCCGTATCACGGGACAAAACTGAAATCATTTCCTTGCTGGTGACCAGCGCAGCGTGCGGGGAAAGCTTCCTCCTCGTGAGCAAGGCCTGATAAGGCATGGCCCCACGCGAGCAGATCTACCACGCGTATGTGTGTGCCATGCGGAGCGCAAGGTATGATATTCATGCCAGACATTCACAGTATTTCCATACAAGTGCATTGCACCTCATCAGTTAATGGCCCATTCCATCGGAGTGATTACCCCGTAATCTCAATACATTGCCCAAAGTAGGAATCGTCATTCACAGCACCGTCTTTAGCTTCCTGCCCGGAACTGTTACTCGACAGAAACTGATACGCAAGCCGATCTACTGCTCCGATAACGGTCTGCTTTGGATGGCGGCACATATCAGGGCCCCTCTCCTTGTTTGAAACCGGCCCCCGACTCGATTCACGTTGTCGACGAGCCTCAAGCCGTAGAATCTCGTCTCGTCTTGTCCCGTGTCGTCTCAGGTCTTGAATCTTTTGCAACAAGAAGTTCTCGGATTCTGTACTCAGCACGATGTATCTTGCCGTGGCTGCAGCTGTGGCCGTGGCCATCGTGCTGCTATCTGTATGGAGACGGAGGTGGCGATATGCCCTGAAGGTTAGCCCCCTCACTTTAGGTAGATATTGCGTTTGTCTGATGCGTGTTGCAGATGCCATCATCCCCAAGAACCATCCAAGAGAAGCCGTCTAGACTCGATATTGAGCCTCTGAGCGAATTCGATTGGCGACAAAATGACCCAACCAATTACCGGTCTTTCAAGCCCGTCTACCACATCACGATGGGTAGGTTGAAAGTTGAAATGCCTATTCTCATGTATGGTGACTTACAGAACCCATCGTAGCCATCCAGGCAAGTGCGCCTGAAGATCTCATCATTTTTGACAAAGCCTACTTGGATCGAGTTACAAATCGTCGGAGGATTTTGAAGGAAAATACGTCAAAGGTTGCTGGCGCAGTGCCGGAAGGTATCCCGGCTCTTCATGAGACTTGGACTTATCTGCTCTCCGAATATTTGCCAACGCGCTACCCGACCATGTTCTCCCTCTCCGAAGACGGGGCCATCTTTCAGAACCATATCACCAACATTTCCTTGCCCACAACTCCACCAGAAGACCCGGACATTGCACTCCAGGCCCTCGGGGAAACCGTGGAAGACGACATTTTCCTACTAGTCGAAACTCCTGAAGGCCATCGCGCGGTTGCGTTCGTTTGCTGCCACCCAGCTGGATTTGATCCTTCCGATAAGCTGGGGAAGCTCATGAAGGATATACACCGACCAGTGCCGTCATATGACAAGATAGGGGCAAGTATGGAGCGTTTCTTCAGTCGATTGCAGGTGGGGAAGAGCGTCAAAAGGCTGAATGTGAGTTCAGTCATGCCTCGATCTCCGTATGAGCGAGGAGGGAAGTGCTGATAAAGGAAGCAGTGGTCTGTCTCAACCCACGATAAATTATTCAGTCCGAGTGACTTGCACATCTACAATGGCGACAGTGTGGAGGAAGACGAAGAGGTTGACATTAGCAAGGTAGATTTCCCAGTCTCCCCTTACTAGCATGTCCTGGCGAACGGGCACTCACAACCTGTAGGCTTGTTTGCGCCAGGAGTTGCAGACGCTGACAAGACTTCCGGAGACTGGCGCGATTCTGTTCTCCTTCAAGACCTATTTGACGCCGATAGAACAGATTAAGAACGAGGGGTACGGACTACAGCTAGCAGACGCCATAGAGGGCTTGAAGTATGGCAATGCGCCGGGCATGTGGGTTTATAAAGGGGCCGCACGTTGGGGGAAGAGCGTTTGCGAATATCTTCGGTCATGACCAGCCATCAAGGCGTGCTGGATGGTTAACTATCGAACCGGACTCGAGAGCCACGGCAAACGGTGGGAATAGCGGAGTCACGGACCGGGGAAATGTTCGTCTCGGCGGGCGATCTCCCGCCTCAGTCCTTGAGCAATAACCGACGATATAACAGAATCTCAGCTGTACCAGGTTGCGTCATCGGTCGGGGGTCTGATGCCACGGGTTACGTCTTCGCCGGCCCGGCTCGGCGCGCTGACAGCCCACCAACAGAATAGCTTGGTATCGGGTGGCTTCCCTGTCTCCTGGAAAGTGATTTATCATTTGGGGGGACGAACTCGCGCCATGACAGTCGACGGCCAGGAATGGAGGACCTGGTCGTGTCGAAAAGGGGGCGTTTGCTGTGTTTGAGAGACATGCTCGATCGGGAATAGCGGGCCCATTCCAAGCTCCGCATGAAATCTCCCAGCTGCAGAAAGCTTCGTTCGCCCTTAGACGCTGTCAGTTTATGACCCCTGCGTTTTCATTTACCTTATACAATATTCACTATGTACACACGAGGTGTGGACTCGTACTTCATCAACATCAAGCGCCCGCCGGTCGCCTGTTATTTCTCTTCCGGCCTGTTTGTTGGTTCGCTCTCTCACCCTGGTTCTCCTGTGCCCCACCTTCTTTGCCTCTACTGTGTACGGATACATTGGGTAAGCTTTCAGTGAACCAAGTCCAGACCGACCCGGCCTATTGTGATGAGTATCGGACATGATACTTATGCCGTGTTTTTTTCCCCGATTGTATTAGACAACCATTGTGTACCTGTGTCACTTTGGGATAGAATCATCTTGTATTTGTCCCTTGGTCTAAACCTGGTCTAGTTTCCGTTGCCAAATTGCCTGACTTCTCTCACTACAGACTCCGCTGGTGAGATAATTCTCCCTTGCCACTGCAATATTGGGTCCTACACCCCGTTCATGTGCTGAGATGGAGTGGCCTCATCAGCCATGGCCTCACCTGAAGCAAGGTACGGATACATATCCACAATCTAACGCTTACGGACCCATCTAACACGCAAATGGCAGGCTCCTGCTAAAGTCCTGCGCCAAGAAATGTTGACGCGAAACCCAAAGCGGCCGGCCTTCTACTCTATCTCTCGCAGCTAGGCCTGCAGGGACATCGCCTTTTGCTGGCATCACGGGAGCGAGGACGGAATCCATGTGTTATGCGTCCCATACCCCCAAAGCCTCCCCTTACATAAAGACCCAGGCTGCCTAGCAGTTGCTAACAAACCCTTCCCTCTTCTCGGCTCTTGAGCTTAGCTACATTCGTTTTTATCACACACTAAAGCAAGGCCAAGGCATCGATTGCTGGAACCTGCGTCCTCTCTTTCTCAAGACCTTTCATTCATTCCAACCCTCGAACTCGAGCTTTTTCCTAAACTGCCCGGTCGGTTTTAGGCATACAATCTTCTTACACCAGCAACTACAGCATAAGTCTTACACGACAGCCCGCCAAAGCCCGCGAAAATGAAGTTTACTTGGAGCATCGCCAGCGCGGCTCTGCTGGCTGCCCGCGCCCAGTGCGAGATCCTCTGGGATGGTCGTTTCAACGACATGACTTCGTCCACCGACCTCGACAAGTGGTCCTTCGGCACCCCCGTCGGCTCCTACCAGTACTACATCCACGGGTCCGGCAAGACGACAGAGTACGTTGATCTATCAAAGGATTTCAAAAACCCGGCCGACGCAGCCTCCAAGCAGGGCGCCAAGATCTCCCTGACCAGCACCTCCTTCTGGAACGGCCAGAACATGCGCCGCACCGAGTTGATCCCCCAGACATCGGCAGCCATTGCAAAGGGCAAGGTCTACTACCACTTCTCCCTGAAGCGCTCTGACACCAACGCCCCCTCCCTCAACAAGGAGCACCAGATCGCCTTCTTCGAGAGCCACTTTGTCGAGATGAAGTCGGGCTGGCAGAGCGGCGCTACTGGCACTGAGGACCCCCTCCTGCGCTGGGTCGTCAACGGCAAGACCGAGTGGAGCGTCAACTGGGACGCCGACGTCTGGCATAACGTTGCTTACGAGATCGACTTTGATGCCGGCTCCGTCGGTTTCTGGCACTCCACCGGCTCCGCGGCTCTGACCCAGGTCGTCGCCCCCGTCGCCGCCCCTGCCTCCAGCAACGGTGCCGACTGGCACGTCGGTGTTCTCGAGCTCCCCAGAGACGGCTACCCCAATCAGGACGAGGACTTCTACTTCTCCGGCGTCTACATTGAGAACGGCAAGCTTACCACGTCCGTCGGCTCCGGCTCTGCCGACTCCGGCTCCTCCGCCCCCGTCTCCTCTGCTGCCCCCGTTGACTCCTCGGCTCCCGCCACTGCCGCCCCTACTTCCACCGCTGCCCCTACCACCACGGCCGCTCCCGCCACCAGCGTCGCCCCTGTCTCCTCTTCTGCTCCCGTCGTCTCCCAGAAGCCCTCTGCCCCTGCCGCTAGCCCCAGTTCTGCTCCTGCTGCAACCCCCAGCGCCAAGCCCCCTTGCCGCCGCCGCCGCCGCCGCAACCACCAGAAGCCCAACTAAGCGGTCTGGTCGTCAATGAACTGGATGCCAGCAGTAAACTGTTTTGAAGCCGTGTTGAAGCTTGGACTTTGACAAGAGAGATCACTTCTGTTGTACATATCTTTATTGCACATAAGACAGGCCACGGTGCCGACCGGATTCAGTCCTGAATATACTCTTTAACCTAAAAGAAGAGGGTTCCACTAACCCGGTCACGCTCATCATATGAGAGAACCATTGACTTACAATTGTTGGCTTTATGCCAGATATCTTGGATAGCTCATGACACACTAGCCACGTCGGGAGAAGTGAAACTGTGAACATTATGTTTGGCATGATAATACGCTGTCTTTACTAGGCATTCGAAGAAGAGACTGCCTGTCAAAGATACTTCTTCACTTGATCGTCCGTCCACTTCCAGAAGTCTTCGGCAAGCCCAGTTCCGCCTTCTTCACGAGACTTGGAGCTCAGCACGAGGTCTTCCCTGATGTCGTAAAATCGACCCCAAGGAACAACTGAGAGTTGAATATTAGCGGGGGGAAGTCTGCGACAAGTAGCACAAGTTCAATTCAACTCACCCCAGCCACCCGTCTTTTCGATTGTCACCTCTGGAGAGAGCGCTGCGAAGAGCTCGGTGTATGCGCCGTAAACGGCGGGGTATGTGGTGGCTTTTCTGAACAATGTCGGAATGAGGGCGGTGATGTGGCGGTCCAGCTCCGAAGAGAGGTTTCCGGGGTTCAGGGCCTGCATATGTAAGTGTCAATTGGAGCATGTGGGGCTTCACATGAGGCGTACCAGACTAATTACACCGTCGGCTTTGTGCCGCTTAGCAAACTCTGTGGAGTGGAAGTAGTTGCCGGCCTTGCTGATTCCGTACTTGAGCTCCTTGATTCTGTCCCTCTTGGAGTAGTCGAGGTTGTCGATCTCAATTGCGGGGTAAGGCGACAGAAGCTCAGCAGCAGAGCTAGAAACCCAGACAACACGAACACTGCCCTCGGGTGCCGCCTTAGCCGTCTGCACCAGCGTTGGCGTGAGAAACTGGGTGAGGAGGAAGGGGCCAACGCAATTCGTTCCCAGTTGCAGCTCATAGCCCTGGACGGTCTTGCTGCCCTGGGGTGGCATCATGACGCCGGCATTGTTAATGAGAAGATGGAGCTGAGACTCTTTGGCCAGGAAGACATCGACTGCGGGCTTGATGGTGGTGAGGTCAGCCAGGTCCAGAGTCAGGATGTCCAGCTTTCCGGTCGAGTTGGGCACGGCTTCCTTGATGGAGAGGATGGCGGCGCGGCCCTTGTCTTCGGAGCGGGAAGTGATGTAGACGGTGGCATTTTTCGAGAAGAGAATCTGCGCGACTTCTTTGCCAACCCCCGTGTTTGCCCCGGTTACTAGGCAGACCTGTGAGGCATGAGCAATGTGTACCTAGGTAGTTGACCTCAAGGACAGCTGCAGGAATGGTCAACTGACCCTCCCGGAGAGATCGGGAATCTCCGTCTCGGTGAACTGCGGCCGTGGCGGAAAGGCCTGCGTAAAGATTGAAAATGGATTGAGCATTGTGTTGCTATCCCTTGAAACCGAGGGGTTGAAGTTAGATATATGAATAAGGATTAACGAGAGACTTGAGGTTCAATAAGAGACTCGGACCGATGATGAGAGACGAGCGAGCTGGCAGACGTAGACGTCAGTGGTATCTGCAGATGGCAAACCGACGGCCCAGTAAAGATCACACTGCCCATGGCCAACGGGGAACCCGAGGGTCCATCGACCCGAAGCTAACCAAAAATAGTGGAGTGCCGTGGCGTTGTCTTTTCTCTCTCTTTTTATTTTTATTTTTTTATCAATCTGGAATGGGTTGACTTAGGTACTCAGTTCACGGGACGAAAGCCACGTGATTGGACCATTACACCGAAAGGGAAGTAGGTACCAATCCGACCGAAAGGTCAAGGTGCTGACAGCTGATGCCGGCCGGGTCTGTACGTACTCCTTATTTCCCCTTTGCCGGCCATGTATCCGTACCTGTACTCCGCATGGAGTACTCTGTACTCCGTACGCTTGCAAAACCCGAGCCATGCAGCAACAATTTCCCGTTTCTTTCCCATCAAAAATCCTCATCCCATGATCGAGTTCATGTTATTGGTGCGCAGCATCATTAGGAAAGGTGATTTAGCCTCGTGTTTGACTGTGTCGCATCAATATAGTCCCATCTCCATGTTATGCCCCAGTCTTGGCTGGAGACGCTTTACAGAACCACTACATCGATCCAGGCAATGCACGAAATGGCAAAGAGTCAGACTAGTACTGTTCCCGCCACACATACAATCGCAATTGAAGAAATTCCGTCTTGACAGAGATCCAACAATGCAGGAGTGAAGGCTTCTCCAACTGACTGTACTTGCCCAGCTGTCCAAGTCAAGCCACGTGATGCTCGTCAGCCAACCAATTCGGCAGTTTGATTGGCTCGGGGTCATGGTGGACTGGAATAGAAGCACGAGCCAACGTCTAATGCAAGACCAGTGGCCCACTCTTTCTTTCTTTTTTTTTTTCCCTCTGAGGACTTTCCCTTCCGGCCTTCAGCCACACGCGCGCACGCACACACAACCTCTGGGCTCTCCATTCGTCGGGTCTAGTTGCTAAGGCAAGGTAGAGCGGACCGCCTGCCACACCAGAGGTACTAAACAACAACCCAAACATTGGAAAGTGTGAGCCTCACATTCGTCCGGACCACTCGATCGCATCACCCCTCTTTCTCTCCTGGTCCTCTTTCAACCTGTCGCATCTGGGAAGAAACAAAGCCCGTCTCTCGATTCCGACATTGCTTCCAATCTACCTTTGTAAAACTCAGACCTGCCCGGTTCAACACCATCGGGGTCCCATCGTCACTTTCCTCTTCGCGTCTCCCGCCTTGGCATCCACGCCCCACCCGAGATCGTCCTCCGGTCCTCTTTCAGCCTTGTGTGGGTGCGTGTGCGTCGGCGCGTTTGATGCACTCCGCCGCCGCGATACGACCAGAGGCGCGGATCGTGCTGTCGCCCTTCCACTTTGAACTTTCTTTCTAGACTTCTACGCCCATCGCGCCTTCTTCCCGATTGCTGCAAGAGACATGCTCTGATTCGAGGCCGAGCAAACTTCACCCCCCGACTCTTCTCATCCTTCCTTCTATTCTCTCCGCGTCTTCCTGCCACCTCCATACGCCGAGGTCTGGAACCTTTCCGATCGATCGACAACACCTCGGCCGACCGTGCACTCATACTGTCGGGCGAACCGGAATAATCTTGGACTTACCTAGCCATCACTTGTCTGTCTATGAGTATATCATTTAACCACCGCCCGCCATGTCTCTTCCTCGTACGGTCTTCCTCTCAACTTTTGGCCTTTGCTGTCCCCCTTCGTATGCCACTGCTAACGCCATCTGCGCAGTAAGCTCGGAAGAGGAAAATAACTACACCTCCATCATCGATGGCATTCTTGCGACTGCAGACCTGACCACCATCACCCGCAAGAAGATCCGTCTGGGGTTGGAGAAAGCTCTCGGTGGCAAGGACTTGAGCGACCAAAAAGTACAATCCCTTCGTCACCCTGTACCTCCGCTGCTGTCGATTGACTGCGGCACTTGCGTAAAAACTGATGCTGACTGAACTCGGTACAGCACGCAATCAAGGCACTCATAGAAGAGCGTTTCGACGCCATCTCTGGATCGGGGGACGCTGCCCCCCTTGCCGATTCCTACTCCGCGAGCCCCGCCCCCAAGAGAGAAGCGAACGGTCACGATGAAGATGATGGGCATGGCGAGATCCAAGTGTCCGTCGCGCCTGCCAGGAAAAGGCAGAAGCGCGAGGACTCGTCCGAGGACGCGGATGCCAAGCTCGCTGCTGAGCTCCAGGCGCAGGAGAACAGAATGGCCAGAGGGCGGACAACGCGCGGCGGCAATGGCGCGACAAGCAAAGTGACCAAGAAGAAGAAGGCGCCACGGAAGAAGAGCGACAAGAAGGTTGACGACAGCGACGTTGACGACAGTGGGGAGCCGCCGAAGCGCAAGGCCGGCGGTGGTTTCCAGAAACCGTTCAACTTGAGCGAGCCGCTGGCGGAGCTGCTCGGCGAGTCTCAGGTACGTTCCCGCCACCGTCGGGTACTCTCCCCCGCCCGCATGCCGGGCTGAAGTCATTTGCTAACCCCGCCAAGCTATCCCGTCCTCAGGTCGTCAAGAAGCTCTGGGAGCACATCAAGGGGAATGACCTCCAGGACCCTGATAACAAACGACACTTTAGCTGACGATAAGATGCATGCCATTTTCAAGCAACCCAAGGTGGACATGTTCCAGATGAACAAGATGATTGGCGCCCACCTCTATCCGGTCGAGGAGCAGTAGAGAAGATAGCCAATAAGGTCCATATTCGGTGCAAACTAGCGGGGCGATTTAGGCAATGGCGTCTTTCTGGCTTGGGAAAGGCAATCAGCAAAGTTTCCGGGGGGTTGGGGGATCCGGGAATATGATGGTGAATGGAGGCAGATGGAGACGTGGCAAGACATCAGTAGACGAGGATGGATCTGTGGTCAGCATGGCATCTTTCATGGCATCTTTACATATCCGGTCATGCTGGCTGGCTGCCTACAGAGTAGAGCATTGCCGCCATGGAAACTGCAGGCTTGGCCCAAAGGACGAGAGACTGGGGTAGCTTGGTCTTTGGAATAGGCCGACACTAGTCCTTTTTAAACGCACTTGATTAGCATCATATCGCTCGAACAAATACCCAGTGACGCAATGCCAGCGGTTGCAACCTTCACAGGTTTGTGGTAAGGCAGCACAGCGGTAGGTACCCATTTTCTAATATGTATGTATGTGCATCCATGACAGCAGCTTCCAGAAGAAACAGCAATGTTATCGGGAGATTGGGGAAAGGAAAGAAGAAGAAGAAGAAGAAGAAGAAGAAGAAGAAGAAGAAGAAGAAGAAGAAGAAAAAAAGATGACTCACGCTGCCGACTTTCAAGTCGATTTCCAATCGTAAAAAGGTCGGGGGAAAGCGTCGCTGGGCGCGCAGCCGCATTCAGCCCGGCCCCGGTGACTCTTTTGAAGCTCTATCCGTACTTAGGTAACGAACTACACTGCCTACCCAGATACTTGCTTCCTCACCTGAGAATGCAATCGCCACCGCTACCGGCGCACCAAGTTATGTAATCAGGAGCCGCAAATGAAGCTTCACGTGCAGTGCTGGCTGGTGGTGCCAGCAGCAACGGGGGGTGGATGACGCACACCGAGAGAGGAAGAAACCCCAGTGCCCATCAGCTGCTCCCCCCGAGCAGCGAGGATGTAAGCGCAGGGGACTTTTTTTTGCTGGACCCCGCCATGAATTCCTTCGCATCCACCAATGCCAGCGCTGGTCCAACCCACCCGCGGTCCTCTGGTAACGGAGGGAGCCACACATAATCATTATTTTTGACCTCCCTCGGTCTTCGCCGCGATTGATAATATTCACCGGCCTGTCCTGCTGTACCCTGCTCCTCCTCACTCTCGACTTACGCACTTACCTATTCTACAAATACAAGGCACACCCGACTTGGTCATCTTACAGCTCCCAACTGGAGTTGCCCTTACACCAAAATCACCAAAATCACCGCTGTCGAGCTCAAGGTTGATTTCGCGCATCAAAGTATCAGCAGATCGAAGACATCCAGCCAGCCCGTTTCGACTCAGCTGTCCCATTCACTGGACGAGCGCTCCTTTCTGCTCTTAGTCCCACTATCTGAGCGAGAGACAACTGTTCCGATGGCCGACACCCAGCCTACGAGCGACTCGAACCCCAACAGGGGTAACCGCAACCGTGGCCGAGGTCGCGGGGGAGGTGGCGGCGGAGGCGGGGGAGCAGGAGGAACCCGCGGCAGAGGCAGAGGAGGGCGTGGCAGAGGCGGCAGCAATGCTGGTTCCGCACCTCAGCAAAATGTCTCGAGCGCGCCTCCACCATCGCAAGCCAAACCGGACAACAAGGTGCTCACCCGCACCGTCACCGAGGGTGACGACACGGCTAGCAGCGACGGCGAAGTGTGCTTCATCTGCGCCGAGCCCATCAAGTTCCACTCCATTGCGCCTTGCAATCACAAGACTTGCCACATCTGCGGGCTGCGTATGAGGGCTCTATACAAGACCAAGGACTGCCCCCATTGCCGAGTAAGTCTTCTCCCAGCTAGCTCACTTACAATTGTCTGCATGAGCTGACTCCGGGCCAGACACCCTCTCCCTTTGTTGTGTTCACCGAAGATGCGAATAAGCGATATGAAGACTACACCGACGCCGACATTACGAGTTTCGATAACAACATTGGCATTCGTTACACCAACGAAGAAATTGTTGGCGATACTGTTGTTCTACTCCGCTACAACTGCCCCGCAGAAGACTGCGTCTTTGCCGGCCTGGGTTGGCCAGACCTTCACAGGCATGTCCGCTCAACCCACCATATGAAGATGTGCGATCTCTGCACGAGGAACAAGAAGGTGTTTACGCACGAGCATGAGCTTTTCGCCGACAAGGAGCTCGAGAAGCATATGAGGCACGGCGACGACAGGCCCGGCGCGATAGACCAGACCGGCTTCAAGGGTCACCCGCTGTGCGGTTTCTGCGGATCCCGGTTCTACGACGACGATAAGCTCTTCGACCACTGCCGCGAGAAGCACGAGAGATGTTTCCTCTGCGACCGGAGAGACTCGCGACACCCTCATTACTTTGTCAACTACAACGCCTTGGAGAAGCACTTTGAGAAGGACCACTTCCCGTGTCTCGACAAAGAATGTCTAGAGAAGAAGTTTGTTGTTTTCGAGTCGGAGATGGACCTGAAGGCCCATCAACTCGCAGAGCACGCCAACTCCTTGTCCAAGGACGTGCGGAGGGACGCAAGAGTGGTCAACATGTCCGGCTTTGACTACAGGCCATCATATGAAAACGAGAGGAGAGGCGGCGGCGGAGGAGGAGGTGGTGGTGGTGGTAGAGACGGCGGCGGCGGTCCCTCTGGCGGGCGCCAAGGACGTGGCCGTGGCCGCGATCCCAATGCCGAACCCATCCCGCAGAGCTCTGCGCAACCCCTTCGTCGCGACGAGATTGCTTTTCAGAGACAAATGGCAATTCACTCGGCACAGTCCGTCTCCAACCGAACCTTTGGCGGCTCTCTCTCCACGCCCTCGGCAACAACGCCGTCAACCTCGTCCCGGCGGGGCAATGCGACGCCCTCGGGATCGACACGCCAGGCACCTGCAGCCACATCAAGTGCCGCCACATCAAGTGCCGCCACATCAAGTGCCGCCACATCAAGTGCCGCCCATCCCCCTGCTCTGCCGACTGCCGAGCTCGAGCAGCTCACCGTTACCGATATCGCATCGCTATCCCCCCCGGAGCGGGCGGCGATGCTGCGCCACCAAGGAGTCATTGAGCGCGCCTCCAACCTACTCGGCCACGACCAGACCAAGATGACGGCGTTCCGCGAGTACATCTCAAATTTCAGAAAAGGAAAGCTCACCGCTCCTCAGCTAGTTGATGCTTTCTTCTCCCTCTTCGCCGACACGTCTTCCAACGCTCTGGGGACGTTGGTCCGCGAAGTTGCCGACTTGTTCGAGGACAAGTCCAAGGCCACAGCTCTGCACAAGGCCTGGCAGGACTGGAGAGCCATCAACGAGGACTACCCGTCCCTTCCCGGCCTGGGCGGCATGCAGGGCGCTACCACCGCCTCCAGCGGCTGGGCCAGCGCAGCTTCTCCCTCTCCTACCGCCCCCGCCGCCGCGCCCAACCAGAAGCACTCAAACCGTGTTCTGCGCCTTAAGAACAGCACTCGCGCCGGCGCCTCGGGACCCAAGCCGGTGACGTCGTCCGCTTCGAAGGGCTGGGTCGCATCATCGCCCGCCGTGCGCCCCCCAGCATCGTCCGCCTTCCCTGCCCTCCCTGCCGCTTCCTCCTCGTCATCGTCGAGCGCGGCCCGGCCGTCCTGGATCGGTCCGAACAACCCGTCTTCAGGCACCAGCAAATCAGTCGGCTCGGCAGGTCCGTCAGGCACAGTTCCTGGCGGCCGCCCGCCGCCATCTTCTGCTTTCCCCGCCCTACCCCCGGCCCAGAAGCCTCTGACTACAATCTTCGGCTACGGGTCAGGCAGAGGCGTGCGGCGTGACCTCGGGGGCGCGGCCAGCAACTTCAGCTGGGGATCGGCTCCGGGCAGTGGCGCGGCGAGCGCGGACGTGTCGGAGAAGGAGGACGAGGAGGCCGGCCAGAGTGCCGGCGGCAAGAAGAAGAAGGGCAAGAAGGTGCTTGTTCAGTGGGGTTAGGTTAAGCAGGATTGGTTATCAGCGTCAAATAGCTTAGGGCTAATATCTTGGTTCCGGTGAGGAGGAACATGTAACCTCGGAAGTTGGGATCATACGTGGCCCGGATTTTGAAGAAGGGAAAAGGAAAGGAAAAGGAGAGAAAAAGAGAAACCTAGAGATGACATGAGCAAAAAGCAGGTCAGAGAAAGTGATGGGAGTACTCCGTACAGCAAATGCGAGAACACATGCCGTCCCTTCGGGATCACTGGCGATTCATCTGCCACAAAAAAACGAGGACCCGGATAGACAGAGCTGACGCGCTGTATCGTCTCCATAATAGTAAACGGATGCCGAGACGTGACCCATGCCGCCGCCACCCAATAGGCTACGCGCGTCGATCAGAAACGCAAACGATGGAGAGAGGGGGGGGGGATGCTAGTCCGTTGGGCGGGGCGCGGATAATAAGACTGGGGGGGGGGCACGGCAGATATCACGGTGGAGGCGAATACATGTTTGTTCGTCGCGTGCGTATGGGTACGATGGACAATCAACGTCGCGCAAAGTCACCAAGCTGCATCAAACATGGTCACATCGCTCATGATTTCTTTAATCATGCAATGTTGGGGACATTTCCATGAGGGGAGGCCATGAGACATGATCAAATCAAATAACCATTCCGTATTGATGAAAAGACTACCTTACAAACCCGCTGGCTCGTAGTATTCCCGGAACCGATCAGTGCTGTCCCACTCCACTGTCCAAACCACGTTCCAGCAGTCCAGCAACAACCTAGGAAACCTGACTGTCCAGAACGCTAGGTAACCGTCGGGTAAGGGACCTACAGTCCGCTTCAGTGAATCGGGCATATCCTCGTAGTGGTTCCTCTTGTTGCGCAGCGCTCTCAACAGATCGAGCAGCCGAGACCCCGTGTATTTGCGCTGCTTGCCCAAAGAATCCACAAACTCGCGAGGTAGCAGGCGGAGAAAATCGCCTTTGGTAATGGCTGGCGCGTGCTTCTCCAAGTACTGGAGGTGATCGCTAGGAGGATCTCTTGGCTCTTTCTCAAAGTGGTCCGAGACGTCACACAAGAAAGCAAGGCGCTTCTTGGCAGGCCAGAAGAAGGGATGGGCCATGACATCTCGGGCCGAAGGACGTTCCTTGGGGTTCGCGTTCAACATGAGGCCGATGAGATGCTTGGCCTCGTAGGCAAAGTCGCCGAGCGCATCCAAAGGTGCCAAGTTGTAATTGCCCTTTCGAATGTTCACCTCTCTCATGTAGCGATCGCCGCAGTCGAAAGGATGCAGACCATTGGTCAGAACGTAGAAAAAGACCAGCCCCAAGCTGAAGATGTCAATGGAGCGGGTTGCACGACGGTTCGACATCATGTCAGAGCCAACGAGAATGGAACCGGAACCGCTGTTAATGCTGACATCCATGGCAGAATCTCTAGCGTCATCGTCGAGCAACAGCTCAGGGGCTCGCCAGCCAGATGTTCCTGCGGCGCGCCCCGTAGTCGCACCGAAGGACGACTGGCCACCTTCCAGCTTTTTACACAAGCCGAAATCGGAAACGAGAAGGCGTGGCCGGCCATCTTTGCCCATGTTGACAAGAATGTTCTGAGGCTTCAAGTCGCGGTGAACGATACGAAGGTTGTGCAAGTGATGGATACCATTGGCAATTTGGTACAAGACACCAGGCAAATCCATCTTACCAGCTTGGGCCAGTCGAGAGAAGTGGTGAGGTCTCTCGACCACATCGGCCAGAGACGCAGCACATCGCTCAAGGGCAATGTACAAGAAGCCATCTCGGACTTGTTGGGCGTAGTAACGGATGACTGAATGCTGTCAGGACACATCCACAAGGTACAGTGATTTCTTGGGCTTACCATTAGGATGATCGTCGCTCTCCCGCAGCAGCTTCGTCTCCTGCGACGCGATATCGTAAAATTGAATGAGCATTCGCTTAACAGCGACCTCACGCCCATCAAACTTGCCGGCGAAGACCAAAGTACCGTTACTGCCAGTGCCTAGTTGATGTTCGGTGTCTACTTCGATATTGCCCATCCTGATAATGGGTCCCGTCACAGCTTGCATGTCGTTCGCGACGGTCATGACGTCGGGCTCCAGACGGGTTGCCTGCTCTCCAAGCTTCTTGGCCTTGTTGACGGCATCCTCGACAGATGCAGGCGGCTCATCCTCCCGAGACTGAGACATCTCTTCTCTCTTCTTGCCTTTGCGATGCTTCGTGCCTCCCCGGCGACCACGGTGAGCGGGTTTCTTCTTCTTGACCACCTCAGGGGTACCGGGCTCGGGAGGAGTCAAGGACTCTTTCTCGGGAGCTGCAGCAGGCTGAGCATTAACGGAAATCTTCTCATCCTCCTTTTCGACAGAACTCGCCGGTGCTTCACGGGCTAGCGTGTTGCCGGCCGCGGCCACCTCGGGCTTAGGCAGAGCATCAGGTTGGATGGGTTCGGTAGGGGAGGGATCGTCATGGATTGTAGGCTCAGGAGTAAGTTCAGCCATATTCTCCGTATCCGAGGCAGCCTCGTAGCGCATGTTCCATTTTGTCGTCTTCGCCTTGTACCACCGACGCAGGTCCTTCTGATAGAAGAACAGAACAGAGACAATGAGAACAATAAGGACAGGATTGGAGAAGAAGTCGATGACGCTGTTGGAAACGTGGTGTGGAATCGACTTGACCTTCCTCACAATCGTTGGCGTCTCGACATCCTCGGGAACTGGAGTGGGCAGCACCGAGTCGTTTTCAGGGTCCAAGACAGCATCAGACGTCTCGGCCCTTCCAGGAAGGCTGGGAGGTTGGTATATCTTCTCCCTAGTAACACCGTCCATGTAGTGGGTGCCAATCATGGCCCTGATTCTCTGCGTCTCGTTCATCTTTTCCCATGGGGTTGCCAGCTGAAGCCAGTCTGGTGACGACGTCTTGGCCACAGGTGCATCGAGAATGAGGGGATAAGAGCGCCCTGATAGAGCGTACCAGTTGCCCGTCTCGGTCTGGTTGACAAAAATGCGCTGGCTTCTAATGCGAGCCGTGCTGCCGTCTGTGGCAGGCGGAACGGGCTGTGGCAGTACAATCAGGTCCGGGTTGATCAAGGGCTCCAGGCCAACAGGTCTGCAGACGTCGAAAACTTTGACCACCGGAGACGAAAACTGTGCCTTGCAGAAGACGGGAAGATCTCCTTTATTAGTCTTCCCGTAATCAAAGCCGTAGATCCTCCCATCATGGGTAGTCGTGTGGTAGCGGGCGTCGATGGATTGATGATATTGGCTGAGGAGGTCGTAGTCGTTGGTGTTGGGAGTCCAGTCGAAAAACTTGAGTGTAGCAATGGGACGACCGTCTCTTCGAGCAATGCCGACCTCGTACTCGGTGCGACCGAGGGTGATTGAGCCAATGGAGCTGCACTCCTCGTTGTTCTGGTCGTACAATGCGTTTGGACGCAAACAACTCTCGGCTTCGTTGACGTGGGAGCCACCCGATCCGAACCACTTGAGCACACGGCCGGTGGCAGCATCGAGCGTGATCATGGTGGTCTTCTTGGTGCCCGTGTATACGATGGGAGGGTTTTCCAGGGCGGAAGCACCCTCGTCAACCATCTGCTTCATGGTCAGGCCTGTCGGCAGGAGCCTGGGTTCGCTGGAACCAGGGACCCAGTAGTAAATGTCTCCGTCGCGGGTTGGCTCGATGGCCCAGACGTAGTGGTCGATGAAGTTGTAGTCGTCGTCCAAGTCGGAGGCGTTGAGGCGGTAGTGTTTGGTTTCCACCATTGACTGGTCAACCTCGAGACGCCAGCGTTCTGTGGCGGTGCCGCGATCGCTGGCGTAGAGGTGTCCATCGACGGTCGCCATAAGAACGAAGTCTTCTACTTCCCAGTCCTTCAGACTCCGCGCATGGTGCTGCGTAGAGATCCCGTCGCCTCCGACACGGGAAGCGATGGGTCGATGTCCAGAAGGAGGTGCTCGCACGGACTGAGCCGGAGCCAAAGTTGCGACGGCGCTCGCATCGTTAGGAATTATGATATTGTCGGGATTGGACCGACGGTTGTGTTGTTTGTTGGGTTGGGGTTGGCTCGAGGTTACGGAGTTTCGACGTGACCTCGGAGACTCGGCAGCATTGCCGGCCATGATGTTGGTAGCGGCCCAGTTGCGGGCGGCAGCGTCCGGGTGGACATCGCGAAAAGCCTCATGCTGACTGCTACCGGGAGCGGGCTGTTGTTGGCCGACGCGGCGTATCGGAGGGATGGGCTCGAGGGGTTTTGGTTGTTGTTGTTGGGCGTCGGCCAGGGGGAGGCAAGAGATGACGAGAACGGCGAGGGCGAGGAGGTAGGTCCGCTGACGGGCAACATGCCTCCCTTCGCCTGGAGGCCGTCGCAGCATGGTCGGTGAGTTTTCGGTAAGGTAGGGATTTACATCAACGCTTCCCGGAGATAATCGTACAGCAGGCGAGACATGGAGGCAGTTGTGGCCGCCGTCGTGGTTGTGATGGTGGAGGAGGAGGTGGTGGTTCGACGGCGGGAATCGACCATGTGAATGTGGGTGGTTTGAGCTAGCGAACCAAATCGGAGCCCACGGATGCAAAGCTGGCGGATGAATGGGCCAGCTGTGGAGGTAAGATGGAGGTGATTGTGGATGATCTGAGATGCACCAAAGGAAATGTGGTGATGGCGAGAGAATATGCAGAGGTGGAGAGAGCGGGAGAGGAGGGAAAGCAGAAAGGCAAGTGGTGGTATTTGGATGCTCTCCTCGCTACCCTTTCTTTGCTGTTCGCTTCCACTCTGTAGGTATTAGGTACCTGGTCAGCTTGGATAATGCTTTTTTTTATTTTTGTGTCTTTTTTTCCAGCCTGAAGCACAAGCCCCCAAGAGGGGGGCCATCGAACCAGCTTGGCCAGCCAGCCCGGTGCCCATGCCAATGCTAGTGTGTCAGTGTCAAATGTCAATGGTGCCCGGCGTGTGCAACACGCAACACGCAACACACACACACACCCCCCCGCCAGGCGGAAGGTGTGAGAGGTATTAAGTTAAGCAAGCGGCTGGGCTGGTACAGTGCGAGTCTGCGGATGAGAGAGCTTCGACGCTGTTGACGGCATCGTCGCGCCGAGGGCGTTGGAACTACTGTGCATCGTACCACACCCCGGTCATACCGGGATCCATCTTCTGATGGGGGAGGGGGGAGTGGAGGATAGGAGGAAACACAGCGGGCGCAAGTATACCGTATTTGTACAGTGCGTTCTCACACATGTGTATACTGTAGCTGGTACACCATCACTGTGCCCATCCCACCATTCCCGTCGAGCGAAAGACCCCACCAGATGTCACCAAGTCGGGCACTCACAGCTCGCAGGTGTTCCCTGTTCCCCCAGTTTCAAAAGGGAGGAGAACAACTGGGATGCACATGCCATGCCGCCCCGGCCCTTCCTTCCTTCCTTCCTTCCTTCCTTCCTTCCTCCTTCCTTCCTTCTTCTGTTTACTGCTATATCTTACTATGTAGCTTACGTACACTATTACAATAGGTACCTAGGATCACATCTACATCACGACGGGGTGAGGTAAGAGGTAAACTACATAGATACGCTAACTATATACAGAAAGGGCTAGGTACTGAAAGGACCCCTTGGGAACCTCAAACTGTGGCAAACTATAAATCGCGGGGTTTGGGCCCCAGAGCAAGCAGCACCAAGCTTCACAACCTACCGCCGCCGCCGCCGCCACCACCACCACCACCACTAGCATGATCTTCCAAACCCCGTACCAGTAGTCATGGGGAAAGCGGGATTATTGGATCCCATCTACCAGCTGAGGAATGTTTCTGTTTACACATGGAGCGCCGTACAAAATACTGGAGCGTAGTCCCCATCCCCATACTACCTGGCGTGTATGGTGGCTGACACAATTCAACGACGAATCTCCCGTACCCGGTCACAGGCGAAACTTTTTCGGTCGAGGTTTTAAGGGTCTTTAGGGCTCCGCGACCCGAACCCTCCCCTTGCCCTTGCGCTTACGCCGCGCGCCGAGTCCGAATCGACATGCCCCGAACTGCCTAGTGCCCGGTGTCGCCATGTGATAGTGCGAGCGAGATGGCGTCGACACAGTGCAATGGGGGGTTCTGGAGCTTCCGCGACAGCCGAGGGTTACGGCCTGTCTGTACGTGTGGCTGGGCCTGGCATGGTTCTTCTGGAGACGACCATGATCCACCAGGTCGGCCTCGATCAGGCACGGGAGGCTACGCTACGCTACACCACACAAACCCGTGGTTGGCCGTCGAATCGGAGCCTGTCCCCCCTTGGTCCAAGGACACCGACGCATCTTTGGCCGAGTCTGCCGGTGCGGCCAACCAGTCCCGTCATCGTCGACGCCATCGCAGATCGTATGCATCCGACACGCTGTCCTCGGCTGATGGGACGCCCTCAGGCGCGAACCTTTTTACACTACCTACCAGCAGCAGCGGCCATCAGACCGTGATGCTGGCCGTTCCTGCAGCTTGTTCGTCACTGGTCGGAAGAATGCGAGCGCGTGCCGAGAGACACAAGCAATCAGCAATCAGGTTCGGTACAGCAAGGAAGGCAATGTACCCGATCTTGGCCCATCACACTGTGTCACACGTTTCTAGTCATTGCAAGATTCACTCCGTACCGGGAGAGGAGTACGGAGTACCGGATACATATTCGCTGTTTACTACTATGTATAGTATGTATGTAGTAGTGTACGGGCGGAAGCACTCGCAGAGCAACTCGACAATCAAGCAAGCAAGCAAAGGTACCCTGTGCCTGGATACCCCACTGGTTGACTCGCCACCCCCTGATACTTGTTCATCGCTCTCCGAGCCCGCCCAAACTCGCCTCACCCCAGTCCAATCGCCATCGGCCTCGCACGGCATTACTCTTGACTCTGAGGCCCGGTCAACCTTTCCGCCAGTGTTCGACCTCTCATTTCGGTCCAACATAGTAGTATTCGACTTGTCCGTCGACACTTCTCAGCTCCACCGTGGCCCAGTGCGGCACTGCTTGACTAAAGTAGGTCTACAGATCATCCAGTTCAGCCTCTGCATCTTTGCATTCCATATGGAACCTAACAAGTGACAAGACACGAAAGTCTAGACATCCTGCTCTCCCTCGTGTCTTGGCTTCCGTACCAACGTATATATATAGGTATACGAATACCCTCCTCCTCTACCAATGAACAACTAACGTACGGCCCAGCGATCTTTCCGCTCTCTCCCTTTGGGAACCTGCTTGTCTTACGCAGCCCCTTGCTTCGGAGCTTTTCTCTCGCAAGGCATTCCTATGCCACCCGCAGTCCGAACGGCAAAGGCGAGGGGGGGGGGGGGGGGGGGGGGGCTCAGAGAACCGATTGGTTCCACTGAGGTTCGCGGAACATCCCAGCAAACTTTGCTTCTTTCGAGCTTCAGGTGCCCACGTCAAATCAAAGCACAGACGAAGTTGCAGCCCACAACTCGACATAGGTACATTTCACCCTGCAGGACTATCTTGACTTGTCTCGGCGCAAACGATCGTGATTCTCGACGCAGACAGCCAGATAAGTCTGCATCTCGCGATATCCGTTCACTCGGGGGACAAAAAAGACCGCCGGTTTCTCCCTACACAACAGCCACCCTCACCACCAGTACTACAGCTCCTGCAATAGGCAATGCAGCTTTTTACGTGTTAAAAAGATACATTTGTGAGTCCTCCTAAGACGAGAAAGTCTATTAAGTGTATGAAAATATACGGAGTACATCTTACCTATTTCTGGTATCTAAAAGCAATAGGCCCATAAGATAAGGTTCTTCAAAACCGGCGGTCTTTCTTGTCCCCCGAGTGCCGTTCCAGAGCCCTTGTGCTAGTATCCGCCTACGAACCACATATTGCGAGGGTCACAGAACAAACGGTCCACAGTCCGGCGGGGGCTCAAATGCGAGATGGATCTCAGGTTCAGGTCCGTATCTGGCTCCGGTGGCCCCCATGTTCAATGTCCAACGTCCCAATTCCAGCAGGTCCTAGGACTGATACGATGCTGTCTCTCAACCGCCCCCAACTCCCTTTCCCACCGGAACTGGGGGCTTCAAGCTTCACCCGCGCAAGAAGTCTGCATTTGCGGTCTGTTACCAAACCAAACAATCATGAGATGATGAGGTGATTTGGCTTCTCGAAATAGGCTTTGCTTCCATCAAGGGCCGCCCTTGCGATGCTGTGCCATCTCGCTGGGCTACCGTTTCACCATTTTAAGATTGCCGCCATCATTATATCCCCTGGCTCATTCGGAACCAATATCCGGGTTGGACCACTCCTTTAGAAACTACGGTTGATGACAGGCACGGGAGGGGCTTTCCCACTCGCATCAGTCTTCGGCCGGATTTCACACTTCGTACGATGCACGTCAGTGGTCTCTGCGCTCTGCAGGCACCGCCTGAGAAAGATGAAAAACGAGGGGGGGGGGGGGGGCGAACAATAAACGGCTGGCTCCCTTGATTATCAACAATCTCGGTTCAGATCCCGATGGGTCGGCAGCCACGTGTTGGACCGTTCACCGCCACTGACAGAACCTCTGCTGTGCCATTCGGGCGATGCGCCATTTCTTACACAGGTTCGTATTCTGATTCACGTTTGGCTTTGGCAGTCAGGTCCGTACGGGCGAATGTTCACGCGGCCCGCCCGAATGTCTAGCATTTTTCGTGTTTGCATCACCATAACTGTGTACCAAGTACCGAAACCCTTGATTGAATCATTATCTCGTTTCTATTGACTAGTGTTATTAATGGCAAATCTAGACATGGCCTGCACTAAGACATGGCCGTATTAACCTTAATCAGGACGCGGTAGGCCAGCGGCTATAGGTACGTCAAGCATCATGAGACTCCTGGCGTGGCCAACCGCCCTTCCGATATACACATTGTAGAACTGCATCAAGTCTTGTTCACGCCTTGTCGCTTTACTTTTTGGTCTTTTGAAATGGTCTCCGGGGCCTGCCCCGTACGCGACCGGATCGACACTCTAGCAGATGTCGTTGAGGTTGACAGCTGGATAAGAATTAGAAACCCCCAAAGTCAATGGCAGTTAGCTCAAGACAAGCTTACCATTGGCAAATAGGCAGTAGGTGTCGGCATGGTTCAAGTTTTGACTTGACTCGAGCGTCTTCATCGCATCGTAGCCGTAGACACCAAAGTCGAGTGTTCCCTTCATCTGGATCAAGTGCGTCATTTCGTGAAGGCTAAACGACTCATTAGCAAGATTGTCCAAGCGGAACTCTGGGTTGCTGGTAGCTCCCTACGTCGTGGTGGTCTGGTCCTGCCCGTGGCAACTCGTGGTGAGACTCGGAAGCGCGCTGAAGTAAAGGGGGCAATTGACCATGTAGCTGTACGCGGGGACCGTGTAGGCTAGGACGCCAGGCGAGCACGACTTGTAGACATCGCCGCAGTACTGCTGGGACACGCCGTCTATGTTGCTCTGGCACTCTCCCGCTATCTTGTTGAAGACATCGGTGACATTGTACTTGGCTTCATCCGACGTGTCTTTGAAGTACTCGTCCATTCGCGTGTCGTTGCTGGTGGCGTTGGCGGCTTGTTGAGCGAGTGTTACACAGTTGTTGAGTGCCAAATTCACAGTGTCCAACTCATCGCCCTGACAGTCGGCCTGTACTATGGTGCGCTTTATAGACTGGTGGAAGGCCATGCGGGTGAGCGCCGCCACCTTGGTATCGACGTCTTTGACCTTGAGCGTGTTGCTGGTGATTGGGATAACGCCGGCGATCTCGGTGGTACCTTCCTTGGCGTACGGGATGCCGCTCTTGACCAAGAGATCGTAGACGCCGCTGTCGCCGAGGTCGTGCGTCTGTCCGAAATCGAACCGGATCTCCATGGTCTGACCGCCCTTGATCGTCTGGAAGGCTTCGTCCGTCATGAGGTTCTGCGGAGCAATGCGTAACCGCACGCCGTCGAAGGACACTCGCGTGCCTGTTGATTGGGGTCAGCACCGCTATCACGCCACTGGAGAGGCAAGCGGACTCACTGTTGGAATAGACGGCCACCTTTTCAACGGCGGCCTTGTCCAATATGGTGGCAGGTTTGAAGAGCTTCCAGGGCTTTGAGTCTGTGTTTGTCAAAAAGATCTTGACCCCTGTGTTACTAGAGCCGCGTTTAAGCTTGATCCTGATAGGTGTCTGGGTGGTATTCAGAGGATTAGTGGTGTTCACAGATACGGTAATGTTCGTGGGTTTGATGGTATTCACGGGGTTGGTGGTGTTAACGGGGTTGGCGCTCGCAAGGGAGGCAAGCAGAATGAGACCGGTCAAGAACTTCATCTTGGCTTGCGAACCAGCTACTGTGAGATGGTTCGAAGGTAAGGAGATTGAGATATTGTTGGGGTTGTGGACAGTAATCTAAGAAGAAAGCCATTGAAGGCCTGCGATTGGACTTGTCTTTATAACGGATGAGACTCCAGCCAAAGCTATGCTCAACGCCATGAACTCCAATCTTCTTGGCGTAGATCCTGAGACCCGATCCGGCTGAAGGAAGAACAGAGGTACCGGGAACCAAGCCACGCGAACTAGCACCCTGGAGAGGCGGCAGCGGCAGTGGCAGCGTCGAAGTTCGGTTCGAAGAAGCCACTTGAGCCAATCCCAGGTCCAAGCTTAAACCCGGACAGCAGGAGGCGCTTCGCACAAAAGAATTGAACGGAAGGTGGTCATTATGATCAACAAGGGAAGGTATAGAGGTTCCGGGTGTGCGATGCCTTCAAAGCGATGGTGGGCAATTACAACGATAGGTAGACCATACGAGATTCGAGGGCCGAATTCCTCGAATTGGTAGGGCGCTCAGCCTTGGTTGTCTCGCGGAGCAGCTACAGCTCCAGAGAAACGAAGGGCCTCCTAGTTCAAGTCACAGACAATGAATGAGGACGATCCTTCGAACACGAATGCGAATAGTACCGTATCCGCCATAAGACGCACAGGCCTCGCTTACCGTATCCTCTGGCTGCGGCCATCGGCAGTAGGCCTTCCGTCGTTCACGTTAAGGGCACTGCACCGTACCCCAGTTTCGGAGAGGCACCGAGCATAGATTGCAGTAACAGGCGCGCCAAGACTGACAAGTACATATGCCGACGCCTGTGTCGTAATATGACTTGCTGGATGGGTGCTGAACCCGAAGACGGCCCTCTGGGCCTGGGCCCCAAACATCACAAGTGAGCCACTCAAACGCAAACAGCTTCCAGGACCCCGGGAATAAAGGCGGGTTCTAAAGAAGACGTAGACTTGTAGCCGCTTGTACTACGCTGATAAAAGTGGTCTTTGATGGTTAATCTCTCTGAATAAAGACTGGGGGTGGAAGTGAGACTGGCGCAATGAGAGTTTACCCTTGGTGGATGCGAGACATGGCCTGGCTTTCGCAAGTAAGACAGACCCTCCTCGGTGGCCATACCTAGGATAATGGGATAAACAGTATAGGTATTCGAGATTGGCTGAGATATTCGGAGTCTAGAACCGTTTCTTCACGTTTGGGGGTATGAGATGACGTCGGCTGCAAGACGGATGCATCAGGAAATGCGGTCTCGGCACGGGCATCCGCGGGGGCGGAGTGGGGTCCGAATCAATTGTAGTCGGCGCCGATCTTCCACACGTTTCCCCTTCCACCACCACTCATAGGTACTACTACTCACAGTAAGAACATTATGAAGTGCACAGAGGTGATGGATGGACGAAGTTCCCTTTTGGGACCCTGGGCTGTGATTCTTCAACGCATCATGTCTCGCTGGCCTCTTGGTCATGTCACCATTGTGGCTTACAGTCGAGCGTCGTCTTACGCCTGTCTGTTGCGCAGCCAATCCAAGCTAAAGACCGGCGGGGCCGGGGAACACAGGTTGGCGCACGCGGGTCATGTTATCTCTATGCAAAATGCGGGGTCTTCCCGCTGTTCAGCCGAGCTGTTTACAAAGTTCCTCCCAAATAGCTTTGCAGCCTCCATCGGTACCTCAGCTCTCTTCAATCGCGCTTCCGCCGTCGACAACTTCTAAAGGATTCAGCTCCAAAGTCTACACTCGTAGCCTCAGTCCCGAAAGTACGGAACCATCCCTCGCGTGGCTTGGACCAAGAGAATTCCTCTAGCCCGCAGCTACTAAGACCGTTCATTTCCGGCCTAATTAGCTAGTGCCCTGCGCACAGTCTGTTCTCCCATCCATCCATCCATCCATCAATCTATCCATACACCTTACTATATCTTACGTCGGGATATCCTCGCGAAATATTGGCAGCAGGACAATTGCCTCTGTAACGGGAGTGAGGAGGACACACCAATTAGGCTGACGTCATTCGTAGTAGTTGATGCCACTTGCCATTTTGGGAAGCTGTTCCGTCCGGCGCACTTGCTGTCTCCTGACTTGTCGGGCCTGGCCGGCGTCTCAACTTTCTCCTTCGCACAAACACTTTAAACTGGCCCCCATCGATCCTCAATCCTGGACTCCCGTTCGTGCTCTCCCATGAGGCGCCTGCAAATCCATAATCCTTTCCGCCCCCTCGTCTTTGTCCTTGCCATTATCCTGGTCTTTACGGTGAGAAATCGCAACGGCGCTTCTCGAGATACCATGACCGCACAAGAGAGCCGGTCCACAGGCGCCGCCCTGGCCAATCTCGACGTCCGCATCCGTCAGACGTCTTCATCCCCACCGACGCTGGCGTTCTCGGTGACGAACAATCACGATACCCCGCTCACCATTCTCCGCTGGAATACCCCTCTCGACCCGCTCGCTATCCGGCTTGGAGTCGTCTCCATCACGCCAGAGGGCAAGAGTGAGCCGATAGAGCTACCCACCATCATGCTGCGACGGGTCATGCCGCCGCCACAGGACGCCCTCGTCACACTTCAGCCGGGCGAGCGCAGGGAGCAGGAGGTCGTCTTGAAGGAGCCCATCGTGCCGCTCGACCAACTCGGCAAGACGGCACGTGTGGCGGTCAAAGGCAGGTGGGGGACTGTGTGGCCCACGACGGCGGACAAGCTAAGCCAGGAGAATATTGAGAAGTTGCAGTTCGGTGACGGGGTTCTAACGGGTGAGTTCGATAGCGAGGCAGTTGATGTTGTTATTGGATGAGCTGGGGAGGAAACCACACAAACGATTTGCCATCTCGCGGCCTCGTCACCAAAACATGCACATGTCCATACATTCAATGCTTTGCTATTCCTGCCAATTGCCTCCAAAGCCCTTACGGCATGAACTCCGTCTGCACCAATCCGATGCGCGTGACTTGCCCGGAAAACGCGCTTCGAAACATGCCCAAGGCGTGGTCTTCGTGGAACCTGACGAGCCAGCGGAGGAACGAGATACCAACTGTGGTTTTTCTGGGATGGGTCTCGGAGGATAAGAACTACAACAAGCGTGTGTCTTGGACGAATGCATTGTTGTCCAAGGTTCATGGGCAGTTCAGACTCTCTCGATTCGTCTCTTTGTTCCCTCTTAGGCATCCATGAATTTGTAGGGGTCTCAACGAAGCCTCGTCGAATGCGGATGGAAACCAAAACAACCCGGTCGCTGGGAGTATTGGAATGCGCTGCGTCGCCAACGTCGAAATGTCTTGAATGATACTTGCCTAGAGTCGTGGCGTTCGGCCATGTGGGAGCATTGCATCGTTAACCAACACCAATGTACCAACCAGCAACTAACGACATGTGTAAAAACAACAAAAACTAATTCAACCATCTCTGATGGCCTGACTACACTAGTTCTCAAAATCGGTCCCAATCACACGAACAATACTAGTTGCAATACAACCGCCACCCACGCCGCCTGCACGCCATCCCCTCGCCCACGGCATATTCAAGCGGCCGATACCCAAAGGCATGTGGCCTCCTCGCCACGTTGCCCCAAGCTCATGGCTATACAGACTCGGCCCTTTCCTCGTGCAGGCCGCGTTAGCACCGCGCGAGGAGCTCCTCGCTCGAATAGCGCCTTGTTTTTGGCTCATCGTGAGGCTGAAGACCATGATGAACCCATCACCGCATGCAGGATCCCGTCAAGCCTTCGCCCTTGGGCTGAGAATCTAGCTCGGCCCCAAAAGTCCGAGTGTTTGGGCATAGACAGACGTTTGAGAAGTCGCGAGCTCTCCCGAGGTGCCATGTTCCGGTGTTCTTCTCCAAAGCACGTGCGGCCGTCGGGTCGTATGGAAAGTCCCATGCCCCGAGCCATACTGAAATCCGCATCCATCTATTCCTCACGCAATTCCCACGTTCACGGTAACGCTCGAGGAAGCAAGAAAGACCCCGAGAATCGTTGAAAACGGGAAAGGAACCCTCTTATCAGACCCATACCTTCAACTGCCGTGGCTGAGACATCTCGAAGACCGCGGTCGAGAACTGCTATGGCGTAGTATCTGCTGATTTATTGGACTCTTGCGTGGTTATAGCGGAGTTTATCAAGTCCGGACTCGGCCATGAAGGAGGCTCATGGACAATTCCAGACGGCTTACATGGGTCCTGTCGCTTACTCTGCGTCGATTCCCAGCGTCTGACAAGCATCGGTGATGGTACCACATAATGAACCGACTGGGCACCTATTACATACTTCCGTTATTCGGCCCACAGCAGTGCCACAGCAGAGGTTGAGCCAACATGTATAATATCTGCCAACGTGGGACCCAGTCTGTGTCACCTGTTGAGCCCCCACCAGCTTGAACTGATGTACATCATCCCTACATACCACAACGCGACTGCCTCCGCTGCTATGATCATTGAGACCTTATACCTCAGTGTGGCAAAGCACAAACAAACGTCATAGGAAGGGAAGGGGGGTAATCAAGGGATAGGAAGCGAGGAAAATAAAAAACTGGTAATCCACCCTAGACGTCACCATTCTGTTTAGGGACCAGCGTGATGTACCGGCCGGCCCCTTCCTCACCTCCGGTAGCCGCTTTTGCTCTTTTCGGAATCTCAGGCCACCCGGGAGCGGGGGCATTGTAGGCCCGGGATTTCCAGATTCCACGGGCCAAGCCACCGACACTATCTACCTCCCTGTACTAACCTGCCCCGTTTGTTCCACGCGTTTCTTATGATCAGACGACGGGCCATTGGTCCGTCAAGGTCGCGTGGGCACCCCGCACTCTACCCATCCTAACTCTGCATGATGCGAATGGATTGGATTTATCTTGCGATTCTACAGCCCGCGTGCCGCCTGCCGCCTCCTCCTCCATTGCATGGATTTCTGTTCTGAGCCCAGAGGGTTCGCATGTATCGTTGGAACATCGGATGGATGCGCCTTGGTCGATGCATCGTGACTTTGCACTTGGCGATATCTCACATCAGCATTTGGTAAATAAATAAGTTTGTGACCGGATTGCTCGTAAGCTACCCCTCCTTAAGGTTTCTCTTCTTGTGTCTATGGGTGTTCTACCCCTCTTGGTACTGGTATAAAATACTAACGCCTTGACAGTGCTTAGACCAACACTCCTAACCGTTTTCAGTTCATATTGACCGGACGACCGTGTCATGTAGCTATCTCGACGTTACCACAACGCTCAAGGACAGCGCATCAACAAGACAACCACCACCAGGCCAAAGAACTGGAGGATTCGACAACTATATTTGCCCGAATCCTGCACCTCTACACGCAAAAAGACCGTCTCGGATCGGCTCCGGAAACAACATGATCCTCATTTCGTTTCACTCTTCTCGGTTTCGCAGTTTAGGACACCTCGCCCTTGATGGGAGGAGTGCCCAGACCGTTGTGGTTGCGGAAGAACAAGACGCCCTTGCCCTCGCCCTGGGCCCCAACGCTGGGCTCAACCCACTGGCACATACGCGCAGACTTGTACAGAGCCTTGATGAAACCAACCGGGCCGTCCTGGACATCGGCACGGTAGTGCTTGCCCATGACAGGCTTGATAGCCTCGGATGCTTCGTCGGCATTGTAGAAGGGAATGGTGCTGATGTAGTGGTGGAGGACGTGGGTCTCGACGATGCCGTGCAGGAGGTGACGTCCGATGAAGCCCATCTCACGGTCGATTGTAGCGGCAGCTCCGCGGACGAAGTTCCACTGGTCAGCGGTGTAGTGAGGCAGAGTAGGGTCAGTGTGCTGAAGGAAAGTGATGGCAACTGGAAGAGGTTAGTACATGCCATTTGCACCAATCTTCTTCTTATGAACTTACCGAGCCAGTGATTGACCCAGAGGTAAGGGATAAAGTACCAGACCAGAAGGTTGGACCAGCCGAACTTGTTACCGAGGAGGACGAGGACGGTCGCGGTGATACCGATACCAATGTCAGACAGGATGATAAGCTTGGCGTCCTTGGCCTCGAATAGGGGGCTGCTGGGGTCGAAGTGGTTGACACCACCGCCCAAGCCGTTGTGCTTGCCCTTGCCACGACCCTCACGCTGGCGCTCGTGGAAGTTGTGGCCGGTGACGTTGGTCATGAGGTAGTTGGGCCAGCCAACCAGCTGTTGGGCAATGAGCATCAGCAAGGTGAAGATGGGCGTCTCCTCGGCCAGCTCGCCGACCTCGTGGGCCAAGCGGCCGGCGCGAGTGGCTTGCTGCTCGCGAGTGCGGGGGACGAAAACCATGTCGCGCTCCATGTGGCCAGTGGCCTTGTGGTGCTTGCTGTGGGAGATTTGCCAGCTGAAGTACGGGACCAAGAGGGACGAGTGAAGCACCCAGCCGACTGCATGGTTCAGCGTCTTGGAAGGCGAAAAGGCCTGGTGACCGCACTCGTGGGCGATGACCCAAAGACCGGTGCCGAAGAGACCCTGGAGGACGGTGTACAGACCCCAGAGACCAGCACGGACAGCCTTGGAAGGCACATACTCAGGGGTGACAAAGTTGTACCAGATGGCGAAGGTGGTGGCCAGGCAGAGAATGTCCCGAGCGATGTAGCCGAATCCCCTCAGGGCGGAACGCTCGAAGCAATGCTTGGGGATGGCGTTGTAAATGTCCTTGATGGTGAAGTCAGGAGGGGTGAACTCGTTGCCGTACGTGTCGTACAGCTTGCCGTAGTTGGCCGTCTTGGGAGCGGCACCCTCAGAGGCCATGGAGGACAGGGAGGTTGACGAAGCAGAGGGACGAGGAGAGTCCATAGGCGAGGCAACGGCAGTCGAGGGCATCGAGGCGTCGGTCTCGGCGGTAGTGGAGGTAACGGTACGGCGCAGAACGGGGTTCTGAGCCGCCGGCATCGACGTGGTGGAAGCCATGGCTGATGTGTGTTTCGCCTTGGTGAGAGAAGGTGAAGGTGAGTTCGTTGTGGACGGTTATAGCCTCGGTGTTGGTAAACGACACTCGGGGGAACAACGGACAAGTTCCAATGACAGCCCTTGTGAGAATACAGAAAGGGATACCGATTGGGTCGCGGGGAAGACAGAACGAGGACGGGGAGAAGAGGAAGGGGAGGGGGACTAATAAATGAAGCACAGGGGAAAAGGAGACGAGGGTCGGTATCGGGTCGTGGCGAAGGCGAAAAGACAAAATGCCTACTAGGTTGTTACCAGAAAACGATGGGCCCTAACGGGACCCGTGGGCAACTATGCACTGAGACGACCAAGCTGGCAGTGCTTTATCCGTACATCTAAGCTACCTAGTACATAGCGTGTGGCTGGTCAGGTACCGTAACGGATGGTCAGTGGTGTGAAGCAATCCCTGTTGACAAGTGGTGTGTAGGTAAAGTCAGGTATGGTGGTTGGTATCCCATGCGGCGAATATGTAGTGCGGATACTTGGTGCTTGGTGGTTAATGGAACTGTGGTGTTCCTCGGTTCCCACGTCTCCGTTTTTGTTGGGGACGAACTGGACGACGACTTGTTGCTTGTGCCTTTCTGGTTGCGCGGGGAGGGGGGGGGGGGGGTTTCTTGCAAGTCAGCGTGCAAGGGGAGAGAAAAGAATAGGCTAGACCAGGGACGGGAGGGATAAAGTGCGTGACAGGGGGTGTGTGTAGGCGAAAAAGTGTTTCCTGATGGGATTGAGTTACCCACCCGGAAGGCGGTGGGGGAAGATTGAGGAGGCGACAGTCGGAGGTACAAGAATGCAATGTCTGGGTTCACCGTTTAAGCAATGTATCTTTTTCTTCTTATTCTTTTTTCTCTCTCCTCTCTTTCTGTAGGATGATGATACCCACTA